AGAAACATATTGGGAAAGGTAAATTCAGTTAACAATACACGTGTTAGAATAACAGAGCTTTGAAGATCAAGGTTTCTCTTATCTCTGTGCTCACGTGTTTAATGTATCTAGTCAATTCCACTGGTAATTCACAACAGGAATATAATGGGGAAACACTCACCAGGTGACGATGTACAGATTTCTGGTGCTCTGGTGCCATCTACTGAAATATTGCTTAAAAAAAAAAAAGAAAGCAGAAGAGTGAAGGATTCTGCGGCACATGAAAACATGCAGTAGAGCATTTGGTGTGTTTATAGATTTTAGAAAAGAACCAGAAATTCGTAGCTTTAGAAAAGTGATTTTTTTTCTCTTTACTCTGTCCTACCAGTATTTAAACATGAGCTGTTTAAATTTATACTGCTTTTTCATGTATTTTTCTTCAGCTATCTTTATTTCTTTCAAATTCTGCTCAAATATATTTGATGCTACTTTTACTAACCCGTTGTCCTAATTGCACTGCTCAGGAGACATTCTGCAAAGGTTTTATTTCTAATACCAGATGTATTGACACTAAGGCTCCTTTCAAGAGCCTGGGGTGGAGAGTGCTGTCTATCAGGGAACAGATCAGAACGGTATCTGGACTCATTTGCTCTGCATGGCTCCAGATGGTTAATCTGTGATCCTGTAACCAGTCAAATGAGAAGGCCATGTTCTAAATAATGCTCCACAATCCCAATCATTTCAGGTCTTCCTGTGAAAAGACCTGGTTGCATCTACTTACGATTTTGATGGTAATCTGGTAATGTGAGCACAGGGCAATAGGCAATTACACAGGTGATTTAGAAAGAATTCTACAAATGTCATAGAAATATAAAGAATAAAATAGAAATTGTAGCTAGTTAGTAGCACAGTTCCTATGAATATTAATGTGAAGTTTTATACCTTCTGGCTTATTTGGTATGTATACAGAGGTAGCTGTTATTATATGCAAAATGTCTGAAATGACCCATGCATGGAGACGCATGGCCTTTAAATAGAGACTTTATTATTAGGCTATTTATGTAGGGCAACTTTATTGCATTCCTGCTTTAAGATTTATAGTGTTTTATTTTGTGTTTTTCCTTTGACACAAGAATACCTGGGAACATTCATACATACTGTGTACTGCTGAGGGGAATGCATAGTTTCTTACAGTGATTACTTTATACTTTGGAGTGGTTTCTTATTTTTAAAAAATCTTAGAATTATACTAAAAGATTTTTGACAGGCTATTTTTTTTAATTTTCTGTATCACGTTTAATAAGAGTGCGATGAGAGCTTAAAATCTGCTGGGAACAGTTTTGTGACCAAAGCAAGTAATTTTGGTCTAACATTGACTCTAAAAAGTAGTTCTTGGATACTGGAATTTCCATTTAAAACAGGTTAAGGTGTGTGCTTTTCTGTGTCTGTATGTAATATTTTATAGATCAAAGGTAAGTGGTAGTATTTTACTAAGGTTTCAGAATGAAGAAGTTTAACATTGTATTGCAATAAGTGAGTGTAAAAGAAAAAATGCTAGCGACTTGAGAAGTCTTTATGGAAACAGTACACGTCAATAGAGAAGAGATGAAATATGATCTATTTTTAAATATGGGTTTTCCATGGATATTAAACTTTATCACATTAAAGATGAAAGGATTTTGGAGACATTAAATATTGAACCTTCGTTAGATCAGATATGTAGATGTTAACCTATAACCAAGCTTCAGAATGCAGTTCCCAGCTCAAGTGCTTAGTGTGACGCTTTTGGCTGTTTGTGTCTGTTACCGATTTTTCATCAAAATAATGTTATAGAAGATTTAGTTGAATTAAATTCACTTTTCGAGACATTTCCTATGAGGGTGGCACAAGGAATAGTTGGCATTTGATCACAATTCCAGAGAACTTAGACAACAATGAGGACTCTAAGAGAGACTTACATAGATCTAATCTACAGGGGAAGTAGAAAAAGTCAAGATCTCCCGAGTAAACTGAGAGCATGGGGACCTTGGGAGAGGGTTGAAGGAGAGAGAGGAGGCAGGGAGGGGAGCAGCAGAAAAAAATGTAGAGCTCAATAAAAATCAATTGAAAAAAAAGGAAGTATTTCTAGACAGTACACTCTGGTTTTTAAAGGCCTTTGTTAACATCAGAGGCACAGGGGATGAGTCAGTCATGAATGTGCATGCCCTGCAAGCATAAAGACATGAGTTTGGATGTCCCATAGCCATGTTAAACAGCTAACAAGCTGGGTGCAGTGACATTCACCTTTGAGCCCAGTGTTGGAAAGGCCGAGAGATCTGACTCATTAGGGAGCTGAGTCAATGAATACTAGGTTCAGAGGGAGACTCTGTCTCCAAAACTAAGGTGGAACATGACTGAAGAGGGCACCTGGCATTGACTGCTGGCTCCCCCAACACATATTTGTCCCTGTGCACACATGAACACATGCATACATTACTCCGCTATATGTACATGTGTACCTTCACACCTTTCATTCATTGTTAGCTTTTTCTTCTGAACATGTGGTAAGATGTAAGGTAACAGTCTTTTATCATATACTTCAATAAGCTGGTCCCATGAAGCAGAATGGCCTCCAAAATGAGTGATGGGGTAATAGAACCTACTCTAACATTCCCGTTTTCCCTGTAACTAAAGTTGTTATTTGTTTTCTTCTCCGTATCCATTGATCCTGTGGTTTCTGTCATCTTCAGGCAAACATTCAACACCTTGCCAGGGCCTGCAATGTCTGCTCTTGAGCTCATGGCTGGAAACTGTCACCACATGGGCTTTCCTTCTCCTTCATGTTTACTCCATGTTCAAAGTCATCCAAGGATTTCTCTGCCAGTGATTACATAGCAGATAACACATACCCTACTACAGTAGCTTCCCACTCTTCTCTTCTTCATTAGAATGGTACAGTTCTTGCCAACTGTCAATTATTGCTCTAAATAGATTCCACATATTATTTCAATGTATTTTCAGACTACTGGATAATTTGTATTTTGCATTCTTGGCTTTTCAAGGTGAGGATCATGCCTTTATCATGGTTGACTCTCGCTTTTAACAGCAGACCAACAAAACAATAATTACTTCCTAAACTTGAGTGAACCAAATACTGATATTGAGAAGGGGTGTAGTTCAAACAATTTCTAGACATTGCAAAGTTTAAAGAGAAGGGCAGGATACTGTTTGTTATGGTTTCATGTAGTCAAACTAGTTTGAATATTTTAAACTTTTAGAAATTCTATATTCTTCCCAATGACCATGAGTTATTTTTCATCTTATTTAAAATGTGGTCTGTTAATTGTGGATATATTAATACTTTGTTTCTTCCTATTATCTCTTTTGCCAACCAACATAATTCTAAGAAATTTACTTGGAAGAAAGTTAGAATGATTCAGAGGACAGAGATGCTTTTAACAGGAAAATAAAGTTAGATGGAATAGAAAAGAACAAATTGACCAGACAAGAAATGGTACAGTCTTTCAAATAACGTGTTTTCAAAACGATGCCGTCATAAGCCACATAGCAGTGTCTCAGTCGTAGATGGTACTTAATTCTGTCACCTGGTGACATTATAGCCATTTTCAATCGTGAAAATATACTTTATGATTATTAGCATAATGGTGAAATCACTTCATGCTGTGTGGCACAAAAGAATGCCCACTGATAAGCGATGATAGTACCTTAGTATAGATGATAAAGAGGAAAATAGAAGATAAAGAAATCTATGCGGTTTCACCTTTCAATTCATTTATCTGGACATGCAGATATATAAACACCTAGACACATGTACATATAAAACAAGGGCGCATCTCTGATGGTACTTCTGAGGGGAGAATTTCTCAAATTTATTCTGTTTAAAAAAGAAAAACCTCTTGACAGGCAGCGATCTTTATTACTGAGCAATCTCTTTTTCCTCCTGAAGATCTCTTGCTTTCTCAGCATTGTTTTTTATTCGAGAAAATAGCTTCCTCCTGTTTCTGTTCTTAGTGTCTCTTACGAGGAACGGTAACCAAAACGTCTCATTTCACTGGGAACCAGACCCAGTTCCCCTCACATGCACACAGCTTCTCCGTACCACGTGTGGAAACGCATGACAGACCCATCGGATGCGTGTCATTTCCTCATTATTTCAGTGAAACCTCTCCCAAAACATCTCTGTCTGCATCTTTTCTCTTCTGGGGAGTGCGTCATCATCGCTGCTGGCCTGCTCCTTGTCATTCTCTTAACCCCTGTGTTCTGTCCTGGACTTTTGTTTGGGGATCTGCTTCACATCCAGAACTACAGCGTCCATCCGTGTGCTTCAATGAAGTGTAGCAAGAGCCCTGAACTCTCCAAGCCGATGCTACTGGAGGATTTCACAGAAAATCATCAGCATATCTAACTCTCCTCTTTCACTTGAGTTTTCTTTCCTTTTCAGTTCAATGAAAATGTCCACACTTGCTCTTCAGCAACTCAGAAATGTGTAGACACACCCATGTGACCGTTTCCTTTGCTTCAGTCTGCCTTCTCTCTTCCAAAGACACGGAAAGTCCTTGCGGCTTCTCCCTGAGTGTGTCACCGATGCTCTGTTTCCCATTTATTCCCCCAGCGTCACTTTCTTATATAGGACGTCGCCATTCTCTTTTGTACTTGGTGTACTCTTTGCATTTTCCTGCCTCTATCTTAGCTCTGCCTCATGTTCACTTTCTGTCTTAGAACGTTCAAATGTTTCCCTTTAACCTCCCACCCCTCCAAAGACATCACCTCACCGACTGACTCCGAACTGTTTGTGAGAAAACTCCCATGTTCCTATTCCTTTAGGGCCACACATTAAATACATTAGGTCAGCACGTAGCTGTCTTCAGAAGAGCGAAACTCTCAGAAAAAATAAAATGGGAACTTAATTTCATTAAGACAAAATATGCTGAAAATAAATATGCATCTGTGATATATAAAAATTACATGTTTGCTTTAAATCTGAAACGTTCTAAAATTTTGTTTAATTTTATATTTTTCAGGGCAGGATAACCCTTCAACCACTACTGGTAAGAATTAATATTTAACTTTTATTTTTGTTATAACAATCATGTACTTAATATAGATATAAGTATTTATTTATTTGGCAAAGAAGTAAGTTTGAAGAAGAAAGTTACTAATACTGTATGGTTCCTGACTTTCACAGATCTTACAAGCCTTTCTGATACAAAGTTTACTAAATATTTGAATATACTTTTAAATTTATTGTGCTTAATGAAACTTTAACTTTACTTAAAATTGACAAAAGTGACAGCAAGTTTCTAGCCCCCTTAAAATTCAACATGGTAAATAAATTCAAAAGCTATATGAATCAGCATGAGTTAAGTTTTGAATATGAACAAAAAACGGTGATCAGAATATATGATATAAAAATTTATTTTCAATAAAAAAGAACTGAATTAGGGAAGTAGAGGGAAGCCTAAATAGAATTTCACAAATAGTTAAAGACTATTTTATAAATTAGTTGGTTCTAGAATTTGCTTACATTTAGAATTTAATTAAGGTTCTCTTATAGTTAAAAATTAATTTTATAATAGTTTTTCAAGAGTCATTTGCCCTTCTCCCAATTATGCTTGAAAATCTGTTTGATATTAAGATGTTTTGTATTAATTGTTTACAAAATTTCCTACTATAATTAAGTTATTTTTTTCTAAAAGTTTCTGAGTTTTGAGAAAAGCAAATTTAAATAATGATGATGCTGTCAGCACATTAAAATTCATTAATGCCAAATCATAGAGGAAGTGACCTGCAGGTGGCTAAAGAGAAATTGACCCCCTTGCATGTTGTCATTGCTGTAAATGCTTGCTTCTTGACTAACCATGGGGTTGACAGTGAAGGAGGTGAGTGAAACCACAAAATACAACTGCGTGAGCAATTTAAATTTAGGGATTTAAACATAATTTGCTCCACGTTTCAAATGGAGCACATGTAGCACAGTCTAAAATTGGATTATTCCTGGGATTATTTGGCATTCAATGAAAGTTTTTCAGATTGCTGAAACACTATACTAATACTAACTAACCCTACTCCCAAGTTAAACAGAGAAGCATTTTTTTAAAAAAATTTCCAATGTTTAATAAGAGAGTTTTGTAGTTTCATTGTATGGCAGGGAGGTTTCATAAGGCACTTCCTGTGTAGCAGGTTCTGGTTGGTTCTTGCCAACTTCGTAAATGAAATATGGCATTTTCCTTTACAACATACCAAGTTACTCTCAGCCACATAGATGAGACATTGTGGCAGAAGAGGGCTGGGTGTGGGACAGGATGGCAGTCTACTCCGTACCCTCCTGGGAGTTTCATTATTTCTGCGCTAACCATCATCATAAGCAGATTGGGGTGAAGCAAGTAAGTTAGAATTATGAACCATAATGCAAAGGAGAACGGTGCCTCCCCCCACCCCAGATATTAGAAATGGGAATATAATTGATGCAAAATGTAGACCGTTCAAAGTGAGAATTTGAGGACAATGGAATCGGCAAATTTACAGTTGTAAATTCTACTTGTGAAACTTGAACTTCGGTGTGTGAAAAGACATTACTGTTTCTACATGAGGTAACTTCTCTGAACACCTTTCGGAATCTCGAGCCCCCTCTTCTGCTTTGCACTTTTCTTTTTATCTAGTCCTTTCTTCTTTTTATTCCGTACATAGCGGATGAAAGACAATTAGGTCAGACTCATGACCCTGAAGATGAGACGCGTGGCTTACCTCTAGTTCAAATACACCCAGTTTTGATAAACTGGATATTCAAAAATGCACATTTTACAATTCAAAGAAGTTAATACATGTTAGCCATGGAATATTTAAGTAAAATGCATCCGTACAATCCCAAAGACAACATGATATCTTTAAATACTAAGTTTGATGTATTTAGTTGTTTCACAAAAAGAAATACATTTTTTAAAATATATTTATTTATTTATTTAGTATACAATATTCTGTCTGTGTGTATGTCTGCAGACCAGAAGAGGGCACCAGACCTGATTACAGATGGTTGTGAGCCACCATGTGGTTGCTGGGAATTGAACTCAGGACCTTTGGAAGAGCAGGCAATGCTCTTAACCACTGAGCCATCTCTCCAGCCCCAAAGAAATACATTTTAAAGAAAGGAAAGCAAAGAAATGTTAGATTTACTCCATTGCGCTAATTCCCCTGCAGACAACACTTGCCGTCTGTGCCCGCATCCATTGCACACATTTGTCTCTCACTCCCTCCTTCCACATCACTCCTGTAAGTCAGTAAGTGAGATCAACTCCATGGCAGTACCATGAGTCTAATTACACAGTCAAACACATTTAGATATTTTCATAAGAGCTGGTCATTCACACTTCTGCTTGTGAATTTTGTTTTCCAGGTTTTACCCACTTAACTCTCCTTGTTTCCATTTGTTTCATTTATTTATTGAATCAACACATACATAAAATTTTGTTTGTAGACAGGAACTCCTTATGTAGTTCAAATTGATCTAGAACTTGCAATCCCTTGCCTCAACCTTTTGAAAGATAGGGCTGCGGGCATGACCCTTCCACCTGATTAATCTAGACTTTTGATGTTTTTCCCATTCTGAACCCTAACTCTCCTAATGATTCATTTCTGGCTTTATCCCTTTCCACTGTTGCTTATCCTTTGTAAGTATTTTCAGATTTCCGTTAGACATCTTACTCGCTGGGTTACATTCTTCTGAATCAAGTTGATTTTGGTAGCTACCCAACAATTAAATGAGAAGTTAGCTAAAGGGAGTTCCTTTTGAGTCCATTTCCTCAATTTTATTTTTAACTCTTATTATATGATTTGTATCTATAATGTGTATGCATTATTAAAGTCTATAGACACATGGTGATAAATGTGTGTGTATATTTGTATGGGTATGTGTATATGTGCATATATGTGTATACCTGAGTATAGATAACTGTGTGGTGTATATACATTTCTCTATGTGTATATTTTTACATAGTATGTATGTGTAAGTATGTGTGCATGTATGCCAGTGTGTATGTGTGTTTGTCTTTGTTTGTGTGTATGTCTTTGTGTGTGTGTGTGTGTGTGTGTGTAAGCCTGATGTCTGTGTGTGGGGTTGGAATGTTATATGCATATATTATATATATCTTAGTACTTGCATTTGAGCGGGCATTTGGGAACATGATTCACATGTTTGTTCTCTTTCATCACCCATTAACGTAGCAGGACTGAGCACATCAGAGAAGACCCTTCCTCTGACTCACAGTAGCCCTTTACCTGCTCACACCACTGACCTCACACCCTCAAGCATCTCTGAAAGAGAAAATGGCTCCTCAGAGACCACCTATTTTCCAGGTGACAATTCAACCCAGGTCTCCCCAGTAACTTGGATAATGTTGATATTCTTATTATGAAAGGTTATCACGCAGACATCCCTAACCAAAATGATACTGGGGATGAATTTGTCCTTCAAAAACTTTCTAGGGTGATCAAATTTTTAAAATGTAAGTTATGCATACAGTTTCTAAGCATTTGGTTTTTGTCAGGTAAGTAAAGTGCAGGGGATAGTAGGCATTTGTGAAGGTTGCTGAGTGGAAAGAGCTCAGACACAATGCTTTAGGAGGGAAAGGGGCTAAGGGAAGACGATCCTGTAAGTAAAACCAGGGAAGGCTCTGTGTTGTGTCCACAGCTGCCCAGGGACTGACCATAGCCTCCTGCTGCACTGGGAGGGTCACAGTTCTGCCTTGCCACTCCTGGACTTCCTTGCAGTTGCTCTGAAGTGGGCTATTCCCATTTCTTAGTTTCATTCTAGGATCTAACATGATCAGAAATACTGAAGATGGGCAACTATTTTTAACAATCAGCTCAGAGGATTCAGTTTTGTGCTGTGAAATTTTTCCAGCGATATTTGCATTATTTAGATTTTTAAAAGAGAAGAAAAACAGAGTTGGGAAATCTAGTAGTGAAATTGAAGATACTGCGGCTATGTTTATAGTAAACATCAGGAGTGGGAGTTGAGACTTGCTAGCCAGTCTGCTACCAGGAAGCTGTGCACAGGTTTCTGGAATCCCATCAGAGATGCCGCTTTCTTGGGCAAATAGGCTATCAGACATGCTTTCTAAGACAGTGAGTGAGTCTACTGCCTACCAGAACCATTTATCCTGGTCTAAAACAGTGACAGGCATATGCAGCACCAACAGAGACAGTTCAGTGTCTCAAGGACGATGCTGATCATGCCGGTTAGTAAGGAAGCAGTTACTTCAGTGAGCAACTCTGTTAGCAAACACAGGACTTCATAACTCACCTTTATCCTTGCCACCAGCTGACTGGTCTCTTAGAACCGGTGTGTACCTCAGAACAGATGGTTCAATGCCATGTAAGTGTAAGGAAGAAGGCCACTGGGGTTGGGTAGAACATGTGGTGACAAACATGTTCCCATTTCTAGTCTCAATTTATACATACAAGACACACATATGCAGCATCTCTCTTTCATGCACACGGTATACTTCAGTACACTAAAAACACAGGGTTTCAGATTGATCATCTCAGGAAAAGGCTGCAGGGCGTGGGCCAAGGAGATGAACTGGGATTAAAGATGAGTAATATCAAATATTTCTTAGTACAATATGATAGTGAGATTTGCTTGGAAAATTTCATGTTTTTTCAAACAGAAGAGCATGTTTTCTTTTCTAGAATGGAATTGCTATCTAGTGATATTTCAATGGTGTGCTGAGGAAAGTTGTATAATTTATATTTAGGATCGATCCGTAGTTTTCAGATGTAATTAAGTTTATATATACGTAAGCATGCATGCCTGACTAGCTCCACAATTTTCCCAACACTGGATATTATCAATCTGTTAAAACTGTTAGTAGGGCAATTTAAATGCTTCCTGATGATTTTAAATTTCTGCAATATTTCACAGTGATAAGCATCTTTTCAAATATGTTTCGGCTGTCATACGTGTTTGCTCATTCTCCTTCTCCTCCATTGTGATTCTGAAAACAGTAATTTAGTATGTTTTAAAATTTTGGAGTTCCCTAGTATTCTGCCTATAAAAGCAGACTTTCCCCAGTATCAGTCAGTAGAGCTGTCGGTGAATCCAGTAACCTTTCAGGGATCAGGGAGTCAATGAACTAAGCTGGACATGTGCATCCTCTTGGGGAGGAATCTGTAACCAAGAACCCAGGAGACACTTTTCAGCCAAGGAAACTTCAAGAGATTAATAAATCGGGTCACCGCACACTGTGGCAACTTTGCTCCAGGTGGTTTTCTCAGAGTTTTTCAATTGCCAGGAGCAGCAGAGATTGACTTAACCATCTCACTTTCTAACCTCAGGTCATTCATCCACGCCGCGGCCGCCTCACCTGCAGACGCCCTCTGCCCGAGGAACTAACACCCAGACACTCAGCAACCAGGCTGACCTCACCGCACTCATGCCTACTTTGGGCAGGCCTGACTCACCAGGTTTGGTGCCCTTTAGACATGCACAGATATAAAGAGTATGACTTGTCGCCTCCTCTCAAGAATGGTGCGAGGAGCCATGGCCACCTGTTCAATGTGGAACACTTGCCACTTGAGAAATTAGATGCTATAGTTATCCTGAGGCTGCAAAACCAGATGGCAAAGGTTATTCTGACAGAGATGAAGTACTACTCAGGAATGGGGGCTATGGCCATGTCCCTTGGTTCTGCACTTGTAGTTACAGCTTGTAAAGACTTCATTCTCTAGTAATAAAGACAAATAGATGTGAATTCTTAATACTTTGAGCCAACAAACATCTGTCAAGAATGAAAGATTTCTTATCTATAAGGTGGACTGAAAACTATTTACCATAATGTCATTGTCTGTCGTTTAGGGAGTGAGAAAAGGGGAAGGAGATGCTCATATCTCCCATGCAGCCTTCAAGATTCCTTTTTCTTATTGATTCTTAAAACAATGCAACATATTCTTTCCTATCTTTTCCCAAACCAGAGTCTCAATAACTTCATGGTGTCCTTTTATATGGGACAAAGAGAAGTATGTCCTTTCTCAGGTCATAATTCCATAATATCTCACATATACATTCAGTGGCCTGAGGGCTTGGCCGTGAGTTAGACATGTAACAGAGACCTGCTGGCTGGCAGGAGAAAGTCTTGCTTCAGAATGAAATCAAGCATTGAGGTCAGGTCTACACACAGTAATTGTTATTTTGAAACACTAATACTGTTCCCTTGGCCTAAAACACCAGCACAGGCAGTGCGCACACTACAAACATTGCACAGAGTGGGTTCATCTGATCCCGTCACTCCAGTAGAGCAAATTGGGGCTGGTGCTTTTCAGCAAATGCAAAGGCTTAGACAGAAGGGAAGGTAAGAAGCCTTGAAGAGAAGCCCACTCTGAGAACTGCTAGCCACACAAACCAACCTGCTCTGTCATGAGCAAATAAATCTTCTTGGCACATTGGCTAATTTCACTAATTAGAAGATCTACTCTGTGCAATCAATGTAATTATAATGGTAAATGTCATTCTTAAGCTGGGGCTTAAGTATTACCTACTTAATAAGAAAAATGTAGTTTTCAAATGAAGACAGAAGCTAGGGATTCTGAAGGCAGTAGAGTGGGGTCTCTCGACATTAGAGGCACAAGAGTTGGTCAGCAGGGAGAAGGGTCTAGAAAGAAGGAGAAGCAGTAGAGAAGATGGAAGTTTAGTAAGCAGAGCCAGCTGATTTTGGGATTTCTCAGGTGTACAGTTTGTGTCTAAATGAAACTTGAAAAGGCTGCAAGCACAACCCTTCCTACTCTCCTTTTACTGTGGATCCGATCCTTCCATTATTCTGAAATTAGTAGATGGACGCTCCCTGTGTTCATTCCACTCCATACTTTGCTTACAGCTGGGAGAGTTCAGGGGTGTTTGACGAGTAGGCCAAGAACAAACTCAATTGGCAAGGAAAGCATTCCCATTTCCCAAACCATGTGTGTGATAACTTACAGATTCAATCCATCTGCAAATGAAAGATGTTTGGCATATTTTCAGCAAAGCGGTTTAGATCACAGTCACAGGCCACTGATGAAACAGAGCACTATGCACTAAAACCCACACACACTGACCTTACATGTGAGGCCAAGTTCCCATCGCTGAACCTGGAGATCTTGACAGTGACATCATCCGTCATCCGGCAAGAACCCCAGTAGAAGCTAGCTCACGTTTCCTTTTGCTTTCTCCATGGCAGCTAGCACAGTGCTCGTCATTGGATGGGTAATTAACGGCCACACGTGAATTGCCTGGTCCTGAGCTCCGACTGTGATGTTTGGGGGAAACATGTAACAGGCATGAAATGCTCTGAAGCCCGACACTGAAATTCTAAGCAGGACATGCAGTTCTTTTAGCTACATCACTTGGCGCTTCACCAAAAATTGGGAAATAAGGGGATTATATCAGCATAATGGGCAGTGTGTGGATATAAAACCAATTTGATATCTTCCTGGCATGGGAGCCTGCTTCGTAAATGTTGTGACCAGAAGCCAACAAGGATGCAAAGCCTGGGGCTCAGCTGCTGTGCAGGCAGGAGACCATTTAGCTCATATTCAGGGAAACTGGCACTGAGCACCTGTACACAGGGCTTCCCTGCCCAGAGTGGCACAGCCACCTGAGACTCTAAGCAGGTGCTAGGCATGCTACCTCCTACAAAACCTTATGGAGGCATCCCTTTTATATTCAGACTTTTGCTTACTCTGTATGGCCTTCATGTCTCAGAGACAGCATCCTTCCCTTCTCTCTGAAATATTTTTAATACCAAGTAAGGCAACATTTGACTGGGAGGTTGGACCTTCTTAGGATAACTAAGATATTTCCCAAGGCCCAAACTGTTTATCTTTGTTTGTTTTCTGTCAACTGATACCCAAGCTGTCCAGGTTTCTATGTGTCTGCCTCTGAGTTCATCTTTTGGCAAGTTCTCATATTGACAGCACAGTCTATGGAATTAGGACTATGAGATGGGTTAGGGTATAGTTAGGGTTTAACTATATGTTGTACTGTAGTAGGTATACCAGATAGCTCATTCCTCTGCCTCAGTTCTGCAATCATTTCTATGTCAGTATGTTGCGTGACAGAGTGACAGTGTTGGTGACCTTTCTGATTACAGGTGTGCCAGGGGCGACGGCTGCACTGGGGACCTCTCCTGCAGATACAGCCCATCCTACAGTCACCCACCCCCTTGCACTCAACAGCTCTGCTGCCTCACCTGCACACACCTCCAACATCAGCACCACAAATGTCTCCTCAGGTCTGACCATTATCTGCTATATGTTTTAGGCTATGGAGGCCCCAAACTTGAATGTAGCTCTTATTTTACTCCCGATACTATTTTCAGATTTCCCATCTTTTAAAAATCATCTCGATAAGAAATTAGGCAAAAGAAACTTCCGAGCAAGCTTTTGGGGGGATTAGTGCAGTTTTACTATTATTATTGTAAAGTTCATGACAAAGAAGTGGATAATATACGTTAATGGCCCGTAGTTCTGCAATCAAATACAACTGCCTCAGGTTTCTAGATAATCTGGGACAAGTAACACACTTTCCTTTTCATGAAAGTGGCCCTAATAAACTCACTTCATAAAATTGATTTGAAGAGTATACATTCAACAGGTCTAATTAGTCTAATTCGTATCTAAAAGTAAGGAAAGCTGTAATTCAATAGAAAATACTAGTTTAAGGAAAATTGGAAAATTGTTTTTCAGGTAAGAATTATACTAAGGAGTGAATAACTTGCTCTTTAAGTTGTAATAAAATATTAACAGTTACTTGAAATGTGCGTTTTTTGAACCAATTCATGTATCAATTTTTGACTCACTTTGCTGTTTTGGAAAGTATCAATTCAAATGAGGAAAAAAAACCACTCAGCAAATTATCTTCATGAAAGAGCTTTTCCTCAAGCTTCAAGATAATAAACTCATTAACTTTTATCCTTTTGTTCATTTCCTTGCAGATGCCAGCCTTGCAACCACTGCACCATCCATTCAGAACCTTCCAAGCACTGTCACTCCAAGCAGCACAATAGGTGACAACCTTACCTCCAGTCATGCAGGCACACCTCTGCCACGGTTGGGCATGTCCTCACAGGCTCTCTGGTTTTCTCTACTTCAGGCTGCCTTCTTTGTGGAATTCTGGTCATGGAGTAGAACGTAGACACTGGTATAGCACATTTGTAGCTGGGACCACGAACCTATAGCATCACCGCCATACCTACAAGGAGTTGTGGCATTTATGAGAACCCACATAAGCAATAGCCAAGTCTGTTAGAACTTAATTCCTTTGGGGAGCATTTTTAGTGTATGATTAGTAATTTTATCAAAGCCTCTACCCTTCCCATTGAGAGGAGGTAGGGGACTGATGCCACTTTCAGTCAGTTACTGAGGAGCATAAAGATGAAGGTGAGACTCCTCCTGGACGATCTGTGGCAAGGACATTGCCTAGGATCATGAAGCCAGTGATGGCAATTCCACCATGATCCCCAGATTCTTCCAATTCTGAGAAGATTAGCAGAAGTCCTTTTGCTTCCAAAGACTCAGACTCCCACTTTTTCAGTTAAATCAGTGGTTCTCATCCTGGAGGTTAAAGGACACTTACAGGAGTCACCTAGGACCACCAGAAACATTAGATATTTATATTATGATTCATAACAGTAGCAAAATTACAGTTATGAAGTAGCCACAAAAATAATTTTATGGTTGGAGGCATTTCAACATGAAGAACAGTATTAAGGATCATAGCATCAGGAAGGTTGAAAATCTCTGAGTTAAATGCATATATTAATGCAAGGATTAATACAAGATCATTTCTGTGAGATCAGTTAGCTACCCTGGATCTTGGGTGTGGGAAGCACATAGAGGTTAAACATGGGAGAAAATCAGTCTTTATTAATATCATCTGGTTTAAAGGAAAAACAAAAACAGAGCATTGCTTTACAAGGGCTATAACTATGGCAACGCAGTTTGAGACCAACGAAGTGAATGAAGACTTAGAATATGTTGGCAATTTTTAGATTTGGTCCTGTCCCATGCTGGCATCAGATCTGTACCCAAAAGTCTACATATAATAACAGCCACAGTTGGGTTTATTGTATAAGTTAATTAAGATGATTTACAGTTATGTCATTAGTTTATAACATTTGCATATCTGAGGTGAAAATAAGAAATTAAGCAAATTGCATTATGTGTTATACCTAAGCAGGTAGACTTTCCAGTTCACAGAAAGTCTATAAAGCAGATTCTCAAAGATGAACACAGCAGACACATTCTAAAATAACATGTCAATGATTTGTCTTTTTTTTTCATCTCTATTACAGCTACTACTGTACCCAGAACTTGTGGTAAGTGTGACCCAAAGACAGCCTCTGTCACTTGGGAACATTATTTCAATCGTTTCTCTCTTCCAAGCTTTCAAACGTCGTGCACTATTTCCATTTCTCATGGTCAACTCTGTATAGTGACTCACTACTTTTCATGTTCTTCCTCTCCTTGTGGTTCTCCTTCTTGGCCAATGTTACCCTTCCATATCTGCTTGAAACTCAGCACTGCAGTTATGCCCCCGTTCACTCAGAGTCAAAGTCAACCTCCGTTGGTTTGTTTCCTTATCATGATGTCTGAAGTTCAAGTCCCTTTCCTCTCCCTGTGCATGACCAGCTCCTCACTTATACTCTTGCCTTGAGTCATATGGAGCTGCATGTATCTTTACTCTTGACTGTATACTCCCTGTTTTTCTTCTTCTGCCTTTGGGGCCCTTCCATATCTCTCCATTTTGGTTCCTTCATTTGTTTTCTGACACCTTGCTCATACTTGAAAAATCAATCCAAATCATCTGGAGTTCTTCCTGTCCTCCAATCTGAATAGATCTCTCTCTTTTTGGTCTTCTATCCTGTCTCATCTTATTTTTATGTCTTTGATTAGCTCTTGTTTCAGTCTGTGTCACCTCAGTTTAGTACTTTGCCTTCCTAAAAACCAATTTCATTTGATTTGTTTTTGTACTCCTAGTGTTTAAGACAAAGGGAACATAGTTTTGTAAAAATAAAATAAGTAAATAGGGGCTACAAAGATGAGGGTAAAGTGCTTGCCATGCAACCACTGGGAGGTGAGCTCTGATCCCCAATACCCACATTAAAAGGTGAGCTTGGTAGCAGGTGCCTGCCATCCTATTGCTGGGGTGGAGGAAAGATGATCCTTGTTGTTGCTGGCCTGATACTCTTGCTCCATCAGAGAAAGACCCATAAAATTAAATCAAAAGAAATAGGGGAAGATGCCTGATGTCAATCTCTGGTCTCCATGCTAATGCACCCATGTGTATGCTCACTCCTTCACACACATGCACACATACACACAAACACACATATACACAGAAAACAATTTTAAAATATATGTGGAAATTAACTGTTATTTAAAAAAATTTTTTACCAGGCAATAGAAATTGTTGACACTAGCCAAAAGGTTTTATGAAGAATTTATTATTATGCATAATAATATTATATATGTAACACAATGAGTGAGAACGTTCATTCTCTGAATAATTCATGATGAGAGAACTAAATGAGTTATAAAGACATTTTAAAAAACAAGAGTAGCTATAAAGCTAGAAGGGTTTTTTTGCATACAAGTTCATAATCAGATAAACGTGTCTGTCAGTTAATTCAACAAGTAATTATCGAATTCTTGCTAATAACAGACAGATATATAATGATGGACCTGAACTGACGATAAAGATTGAAATAGACTAGTTTTTGCTCTCATGGAATTTACAGTTTACTAGGCAAGACAAATGTCAATCCAACAGTCATCTCAGCATTCCTTTATCAGAAATAGGAATTATGTAATAATGACATAGGGCACGTGATACTTTTCTTACATCCTACAAAGTTCCGAGGATATTGTGTCAAAAGCTATAACTTGATTTGGTGATATCTTGATATCTTATCTGCTGCTTTTATTCGATGTTTGCCAATCGTTCTTTTACTTCTGTTTGTTGCATACTTAATAAATTCACTCTTTTGCAGATCTTTCTCTGCACAAAAGAGTATGTTAAGGCATTCTTATCCAATGTATTCTCATTCATTCTGAATAGTGATAATACTAATTTTCTTTTTCTTTTCTTTCCAGATGAAGAATTTGGGAAAATTACTGTTCATTACAAATATAACAGTAGTAATAAGTCTTTTGATGCAAAGCTAGAATATGGCAATCCCCCCCAAAATCTGTGTGAAATCAAAATTGTGGAATGTAAACAGCTTGACAATCTACAAGAATGCTCAAAGAAAAGTTTAAATGTATCTAAAGGCTCATGTACTCCACCTAAAATTATAGAATTAGATGTACCGCCAGGTGAATGTCAATTTCTTTCTATCTGGGTATTTAGAACAACAGTGTGATTTCATGTGTGTGTTATGGTGTGCCTGGGGTCTAATGTGGTTAGAGAAAAGAGCCAAAAGAAAGGAAGTCAGCATTGATAAGAATGAATTCCCTGCTGAGAACCCTGGAGAGCATGAAGAATTACATCCTAACTCTTTTGAACCATCACCTACTTGTCTTGTCTCTCTAACAAAAAGGTTCCTAGCTGGGCAGTGGTGAAGCACACCTTTAATCCCAGCACTAGGGAGGCAGAGGCAGGTGGATCTGAGTTCCTAGCCAGTTTAGTCTGCAGAGAAAATTCCAGGGCTATACAGAGAAACCATTTCTCAAAACAAACAAGCAAATAAACAAAAACAAGCACACACACAAACAACAAAAAGGGGTTGCTTTGAATTATAAACAGCCTATTTTGTGAAATAATTAAACTTGAGATTTCTAGGTTTTCTTTTTAAATTCAAAATGTTCTTTTTGTCCCTCTCCACTCCCCCTGCCAGAAGTTTCTTACATATATCAGGGAAAAGAACAAACTTAAACATCTAATATTTTTGAAAAAAAAAAAGCAAAGGGAGAGTTCTAGTTATGTTAATACCAACGTTGTAATTCCAGCATGTGGAAGGTCAGTTTCTGTTTTCAAAGTCAGCCTGGGCTAGTATAGTGCATTCTAAGCTAGCCTGAGCTACAAGACGAGACCGTATCTCCAAAAACTCAAAACAGACCAACCAACAAGTATCAAAACCTCAAAGAATTTTTTATCAAATGGGAAAAATCAGCTATTTTATCTATTTTTTCCTTGAGTTTCATTTATAAAAGCGGTGTGGATTCTATTGAAAAACAGCACACATTTCTATTAAAATATGTGGTACAAAAAATATGATATTTTCCCTAGTGAATGTCAAATGTCTGAGGTGATAGACAGACTGTTTGCAATTGGGAAGTATGTATTGTGTAGATATATCCAAATACCATATAGTATGCAAATTTGTAGAATTATGTGTCAACTGAAACAAAGAAAAATTAAAAATTCGGATTGTGAACTAAATAATCAAGGAGCACCAAGCCCAAGTTATTAGGCTTCTCCCAATGCAACCTCATGCTTTCAAAACTGGACTTCATGGGTGTGATTTCAGAGTCTATAGTTGTGAGGTACCATACCTTCACACCAGAGCTGTAACCTAAGGACACTGCTCTGTTTTCTTGACAGGACCTGAGAATTTTACCCTGCATGACTGCACAGAAGATATAAAAGCAAATACTACAATTTGCTTGGAGTGGAAAGCAGAGATCTCTACCTGTAACAACACAAAAATTACATATAAATTTCTCTGTAATGATACAGGTAAGGTACCGAGTAGAGAAACTCTATCATCACGGATGGTTTAAATGTTCTTTCTATATATACGCTTGTCCTCCTCCCCTGACCCTCAGTGGTCTGTGCTAAATTAGAATATAACGAGTCCAGTATCTGTCACTCAAACAAATTCACAAAATAGAATAAAAAAAACAACAACCATGGATAGTACCTATTGAAAAAATTGAAAATTAATTAATTGAATTTTCTTGATTACTGCTATATGCCAGACATCACTGAAAGGATGATAAAATTAGGAAATTATAAAAGAATGATGATGTCCATATTCTGTAGAAAGGAAGCATGGTATTATATAAATCCAGAGGATACGTTCTTTGACTCTCATCAATGAAAATCATTTGCAAGTTCAAGAATATGGAGGTAACAAGGAAAACAAGTGCTTCTAGGAAGGAATTTGGGTTCCTAATGAAGTAGAGTTTCTTTTTAGAAATATTTGAATTCAGTAAGATGGACTCTGTTCCATCTTGGCATCAAGCCACTTGCTAGGACACACGTGTCAAGGCAGAGAGGTGTATGTGCCCCTCTGTGCACACATACAGAGGCAGAAGGGGCAGAAAAGGAATGTATGGCCCTGATTGTCATCATCATGCCAACGAGAAGATGCTAGGCTATGCTTCAAGCATTGTGTCCAAAGCAGGAACAAGTATATTATGAGCTATCAATTTTAAAAGTGTAAAACATGTTAAGCAAAGGCTAAGTGAGGTGTCGTCCTGATTTCTCAACAAAGTTGAGCATAGCAGTGCTATTTGCAAGATGTTGGGCTTATTATTCCACCATTTGCAGAGACTTCACCCCAAAAGTAAGTCTTAAAAAAATGCTGTCAGGAAAGACGTCCGTACTCTGTGTCATTGCATGTACTCATGTGCAATACTTATTTCTTGTAGGTACTCAAAGATCTTCTCAAAACATTGTGTTACGTGGTCTTCAACCCCAAACACCTTACGCATGTGCTGCGGAAGTCCTCTATAACAATGTGAAACTTTTCCAAGAAAATAAAACTGTGGAGACCGATTTGGGGAGTGAGTACATTATTTACATTTATACGATAAACAGAATTTCTGTTTCTTCTTTGGGCTTACATTATTTGGGGAATCACAGAAGATAAAGGTATGGAGTTACAGAAAGCATATCAGAGAAGAAAAATTTTAAATGAATTTTAAGGTGAATTTAAAAATAAATTCTACAAACCTAAAGTTGTTCTTTTTCTGTTGTTCTAATTGTATATGTTGCAAGGCTGCTGGAAAGGGTTGAGATGATTGACATGGATCATCCCTACTTTCTTCATTTCCTTTGCCGTCCCTCTTAGAACACCCTTCAGTCTGTGTTCTTATGCATCTCCCCCAGGCGTGTCCTGCTTCTGACAGAAGAGTGAAGTAAACAAATTGACCACTATAATTCAGGCAAACCTAATTGCTGACTATAAGACAGGAACTGTGGCTATCACATTTTTGGCATCATAATTAATAACAAGATAAAACTTAACAAATGGAAAGGGGTTCTGAAATTAACAGCATTTGGAAAGAGAGAAGAGAAAAATCCCAATTAAATGTAAAATTTGGTGGTAAATATTATTTTTTATGGTGATTAATGAATAATCAATTACGACGAAGACAAAAGGTATCATTGCTCACAAACAGTAGAGACATTTCTAGAAAAAAGATTTGTATATATATCAGTAGAGGAAAAGGAGAAGAGAAGCAGTAGGAAAGGGAGAAAGAAGAGGGAGAGAGGGAAGGATGGAGAGGGAGGGTGGCAGAGAAAGAGAGAGAGAGAAGCAGAAAGCTAGATATGATGGTACAGATCCCAACTTAGCTGCTTGGGAGGTTGAGGTAGAATGATGACAGGTTGAAGAATGAGACCTGCACCGTGTGAGAAGGCTTGCTTGAGATGCATGCAATCCTGCTGAAAACAACCAGAACAATAACAAAATGCATTATGATTACCTGGTCTTATACTAACACGACTCTAATTTGCTTCATAGTTGAGGCCCCAGGGGATGTTCATTTCAAGTCTCCTATTTTTCCAAACTAACATTAATTATACAAAGAGCAAAGAATGCTGCAGGATAGCCAGACAGGTTTAGAATCATGTTGGGTATTAAAAACTTAGAGTGAGGCCAGGCAGATTGTTCAGTGGGTAAAGGTGCTTGCTGCCAAGCCTGAAGATCTGAGTTTGTTCACAGGATGCTTATGCTAGAAGGTATGCACATGTACATGCACATACACACACATACACACGTGCACACACATGTACACACACATGAACACACATACATATATGGACGTACATGGGCACAGTTATACAAATAAGTAAATAAGCAAACTAAGATTAAGTCCAACTTTTTAAAATCAGTGTAACATAATGGGGAATCCTAAAAAGAACAATGTTTATATTAAATAAAATACAAGTCATGTCAGTTAACTGTTTTAGTATCCCCATAGAGCAAGTATATCAAATGGCCATCAGTCATTGGATCTCAACACATACAGATGTTCTGTTGCTCTAAAAGCTAAAGTTATAAAGCACCTAATCAAAACCATGTGAGATGCTATTTGTATTTTCTTAACAAAAAATCAAGAATCATAAAATGATCTGTAAATTTGACTTCATAGTTGAATAATACCCCATCTCTTTGAAGTAACTGAAGGAAATAGCATATAAATTGTGTACTGTGGGAAAATAGCCATGATTTGTTTATATTTGACATGGGCAATTTCCCAAAATACATAGGAATATTTTCAGTTACCAAACAAGACACCAAATATTCCAACTGAAATACAGGAAAGCATTTTGACTCTGCTTTGAGCTAAATATATACAAATGGTGACCGAGTCCAAGGAAAGCTGCTCGACCTCATTAGCCATCTGGAAAATTAAAGTCAAAACAAGATGGAGATTGTATACATACCCACTAACAAAAGACTGACAGTATTATTGATGAGAATATAGCAATTCACCCAACATAGGAAGAAAGACTATATCTGCAAGGGAAAGTGGATGTGTGCAAACATATCCAGTCTTGGAAAGAGCTCAAACAGCCACCAAATGTTTAGTAATAGAGAAATTATGGCATAAATTAATAAAGAACATTGCTTATTTTTTCTTGCTCTAGTGAGACAGTAACCACATAAAGATAAAATATTCATCTAGATCTTGAGTTTAGAAATTTCAGACCAGGGCTGGTTGACTCTGTGGTACTAGGTCTCTGGTAGGGATACCATATAACAATGAATGATAGGGATGTATCTTGAAGGGAACTACTCATCACTTGTATCAATAAGGAAAGAGAAAAGAGAAGGATGGGGACACTTGATTCCATCTGAGGGTGTGCTTCCAATGGCCCAAAGATTTTGCACTAGGTCTTACCTCTCCAACATCCCACCAAGACATTTTGTGACATTCAACATACAAGCCATAGTCTTACTGATGACTAAAAAGGCACAGTTATGATGTGCAAAAAAAAATCCAAGTGCAATATTAAAACCAATATAATTTGTGAAAAATATTACTGTTTAATTCCATTTATATATAATAAAAACAAAGATACATTCAATCTATAACAGTAGAAAGTAAATAGAATATGTGGTGTCTCAAGGGGCTCATTTTGACTGTTAAGTGACATAGAAGGATAATAGAAAGTTTTGGTATTGTGGTAGTAGCTCATGGATGCATACATTCATAATTCATCAAGCTACACCTTAAGCAAGTATCATTTATTTTGTTTGAATGATTTCACACAACAATATCTTAAAATATCAAAATATCTGAACAACAGTGCCATGAGAAGAAAATATTCTCAGGAATTTTTCAAATCAGTGGGATACTAGATTTCCTACTGCTGTATTGGAACAAAATAGACTCTATGAAAGAAACCTTATCTAAAGAATACAGTTGAAATCTAAGGACTTCACTGTTGTCTGAGGTTTCTGTCCTGCCCGGTCCTTGTTCTGCCTGGTTCTTGCAATTGTTAAGTCCCAAAGAAAATCACACATTAACTATAAACTGATTGACCCGTTAGCGCAGGCTTCTTATTAACTCTTATAACTTATATTAGCCCATTATTCTTATCTGTGTTAGTCACATGGCCTGGTACCTTTTCAGCGAGGCAATCACATCTTGCTCCTTCTGTGGATGGATCAGGACTGCAGAGGAATGGACTTCCTCATTCCCAGAATTCTCCTGCTCTCATTGACCTGCCTCAACTTCCTGTCTGGTTGTCCCACCTATACTTCCTGCCTGGCTACTGGCTAATAATCCTTCAATTAAAATATAATTGACAGAATGCAGACCATTCTTTCACACTACATCACTGAGATTTTATTAATTCATAATCCGTCAAAAGATGGCTGTTAGTGATTCCATCTTGTTATGGAAATACTATTTTTTTCAGTTACTTATTTTTTCATTGTAACTTTTTTCTCTTTCTTTCTTTTTAACAGTTCCAGAGAAACCCAGGAAGGTTTTGTGTGGGAATGTATCTGAGAACAAAACATTAGTTACCTGGAATCACCCTTCAACTTTGCTCCATGGATATTATTTGTGTTCCAATAAGACCGGTTCAGGTAATTTTGTAAAAATGTAATTCCCACAAAGGAAAAAAGTCAAGAATTTTTAAATGCTGGGACTATGATTTTAGCCTGGGTGCTGCAGGGCTTTTATGTGGATGGTGAGATTTCTGTGTCTCTGTTTCAGAACTCCTATTCACAAATAACTCTCTGGCCTCAGATGTAGCAAAAATCAAAAATCATTCTAACACTTGCATATTTTTCTTAATCTTTCTTAACTTTAATCTTGACATTTGAGAACCCAGTGAAGGAAAAAAATTTAAAAAATAATATATAATACATCCTGCAAATTCTACGTAATTGGCCTGGACTATTTTGAACTCCCCACTGAAGCCCCTAGATAAACACACAGACAAATTCAGACACACAATATTGTGTGAAAACAAATGATCACCATACTATTTAGCCGCTGAAAGAGGGAACTTGGGTCACTTATAGTCCTTAATTAGTCTGCTTCAGAAATTGATGGAGTCCCCACAATTCGGCATGACTAGCTTTAGATCAGTGTGCTTAAATGAACAGCTATCTCCTGGAGAAGACCAAATGTCTAGAATATTTATGGAAAGCAATATGGACGATTACCGCCTCCCAGGGAATCCTGTACATTGGACAGCCTTTTACCTCTGCGCTGAGGTCGCAATGAACAGAGCACTCACTGAGTCCTCTCTGGGTTTGGCTGGAAGAAATCAGACATAAGTTACAAAATTTGAAAACTAAAAGAACATTTTTGTATACTCCTATGTTTTGAGAACATTTTCCCCCTTACTCTTGAAGTTATAATAATCCAATGACTAAAAGGAAGTTAAGGGGCATGTTGTCCTTAGCAAAAGTTTTATGGGGAAGAAATATAAACGGTGCATTTGAGAATCTGAGAAGATTGAAAAGACAAGAGAAATAGAGATTCTAGGAAGATAAAACGGAGGGCTCCTTATGTCCTCTGCTTCATCAGACATGTGTTTTATGGACCCCTCTCCGTGGCTTCTTCAGGAATACACTGGCTTTTCTTTCTGTTTTTAAGATTCTTCTACTACTCTATTTTGCTGCATACCTAGTTTGATAAATTCTCTACTGTACTGTTTGTATGACAGTATTTGGTAGAATTATGTGTGTATGTGGTTTGTTTGAATTCTGTATAGTCTGAAAAATCTATTTGGACTGAATTGAACAATCAGGGTAAAGGACAGCATGAATTATTAAGTTGGAAGAGTTTTGCTTGCCTGCAGTCAGTATAAGGCCCTTTTTACTGTCACTTAAATATAGAGCTGTTCAAACATGATGCTTGCACATGGTTGAAGGGGAATGAAGAGAACTTGGAAGATAGGTATCTTCTATTCTCCCAAACTTTGCACTAGTAAGTTAATTGAGTGTCCACTATGGATGGTATCGAGACCACCTGAAAGATCTATTGAAGCTGGTCTCTGGTCCATGATCTCCGACTGCAGTTACAATGCCTGCTGCTTAGCCTCTGTTTTCTCACTCATGTCTAAGGTGTACTGCAAGGAGGTCAACATCCAGTTTGTCTACCAAGGAGACTTGACAGGATCATAGCACCATTCAATATTCAGTCAGTCCTATGAACTGTGCACCCTAGTTCAGGAGAAAAGCCCCATCCAGAATTCACAGGTCTAAATCTTTGAAATGAATGCCTTCAAATCAAAGTTCACATTTTATCTCAAAATTTCATGATGTAACTGTTTCAGTATCTCCAAAAGTTAGAAAAGAGAAGAGTATATATCCATTATTTATTTTACTTGGGATTACCTGGTGATTTTTTTTTATGTTCTACTTCAAGTATTTTTGATAATGGCCTAATATCCATTTGTTTGCTGTTTGTATGGTGAAAATCAGATTAACACAATTTTAGATGGTTTTTCAGCAACTTCAGGTGAGCTCTCTGACCTTGCTGCAGCCATGTTTTACAGTATCTACCATATGCTAGTTCTTGAGGAGCTTCAAGTTTGTGTCATCAGCTTAATGGCACCACGTGACAGGAAGACCCCCTAGTCATTGAGGAAGACACATTTTCAACTTTGTGGATTTAAAGGATTTTTTTTGTAAAGAGCTATTAAAAACATTTTGAAACTAGAGCTAGTTCCAGGACAGGACAGGCACCAAAAACCCTGTCTCAAAAATCAAAAAAAAAAAAAAAAAAAAAGAAAAAAAAAGAAAAAAAAGAAAAGAAACTATGACGGTTCTAGGAATCATTGTAGATATCCTTTAAATATGACTTTTTATTTGTCTCTTTTGCCATTGGAATGTCCTTTGGATACTTGTATGGTTTCGATAATCCCTTTAGGACACCCACGTCTACACTGTTTGAAAAAGTGCCCATGAAGATACCTTTAGAGATCAAGTCTGGAAATTATCAATTCATTCCTTGTGTTAGTCTGTACACAATAAATATAAAACAGTGGTGAAAAAAAAACCCCATATCTTTCTAGGTGTTTCCAATTTTGTTTTTTGTTTTTGTTTTTTGGTTTTCAAGATAGGGTTACTCTGTAGCTTTGGAGCCTGTCCTGGAACTAGTTTTTGTAGACCAGGCTGGCCTCAAACTGAGAGATCTGCCTGCCTCTGCCTCCCGAGTGCTGGGATTAAAGGCCCGCACCACCACCACCCAGCGATATTCTTCTGTTTCACACAGTTTGTTCCTCTGAGACCTGAAAGTATTTGGGTTTATGAAGGAACCAAGAGTGTTCATGTAAAGTATTGTGGAATGTGTTAGTGAGGGTTCTTTATCAGAAGAAAATCAAGAGGATGTGAATAACAATTATTAGATTAGCTAACACAGTCTGAGACTGGCTGTCCTTCAGTGGCCAGCGGCCAGCTGCAGAGACAGGAAAAGCAGTAGTTGTTCAGTCCAAGAGGTTTGGATCCTCAGAAAAGAGGGACCACAGTCCAAAAGCAAAGGTCTAAAAGCCCCCTGCAGGGTCACTACTGCAAGCTGTGTTCAGATCTTAAAAAGGTGTGTGATGGCAACAGAAAAAGTTATACCAACTCAAGAAGAGTACCCTTCATTCCTGACCGAGCTTCATCCTTGCTCCACATTCATTCAGACTCCCATCTTCTGAAGCGCTATCCATATCCAGGGCAGATCTGTCTCATTCATTTCACAGAACCCTGTGTCAATCCTGTCCCACAACACCTCACAGACATACAAGTGTGACTTACCAATTTTTAAGGCCTCTTTCAATCCAATGAAGTTGTCAACCAAGATTAACTATGACAGAGCCCTTCAACCAAAGCTAGAAATCCTTAGTAATTTGAAACAAACATCCCAAACATTCTGTCTAAATACTAAGTCACCTCTTTAAAAAGATTTTAAGATTTATTGTTCAAAACTATGATGAACAATTTCGCTTTTTTTGCACTAGGTAAAATACAAGTGTCATTGACTTACATTATGAAGCTGTGGTTTGAAGCAGAATGCTTGTGAGATTGCGTATACAAGCTCATGAATTTAGGTCACTAAATAAAAGCCAAGCTGAGCTGGAGATCAGCACCCTTAACCCCAGGAGATTATCCCAGTGATGAAGATATTATCCTAAAATCCAGACACCATATAAAGACATAGCAGAAGGCCTGGGTCATAGGGTGTCATCTGACCCTTCATTTGTGCAGCCATTCTGGAGAGGATTCCCACTATGTATAAGGCAGACCCAATCTAGAAAGCAACCTCACTATACCCAGGCTTTGGGGAATTCTGAGAAATAGATACCATTACAGAAACTATCTTCTGTCCCTTACTATTGGGACTTCCATGGTGATATTCATCTATAGAAATTTGGTGATCTGTTTGTGTTGAGTCTTTCTTGATACTGCTCCTGAAAGGCACCAGAGAAGTGTATTCTCAATATGAAATTCAGGCTTCACCCCACTGTTGGCATTTATTTCCTGCTTTTCTCCAGAGAGCAGGTGAAATGGTAAATGCAGGAGCTCAAATTCTATTCTTCAGTGTCTAAGCTCCATTCTGGCTTTATTTTCCTTACCTGTGGTCATGGACAAGTAGCTTAATTTCTTAAGGTTCAGTTTTCTATAAAATCCAATGATGTGGTAAATACCAACTTTGTAATTATGGTGAGGGTTAAATCAATTAACTCATCCATCACATAAACACTGACTATCACATGTACAGAGTCATTGATCACTTTTTGTTGTTATTGTTATCATTGTAACTTCTGTCTGATAACATGCTGCTTATAATTTCTTTGCTTTATTTTTTCTACTTAAAATGTCAACTTGTGCCAATGATTTCCCATTTAACACATACTAGCTCTTCAAGCTACGCCCTATGGTATATCCAAGTCTTGACTTCTCCTCCTCATCTATATAGCCAAAATCTGCTATGCTAGTCATGTTTGCCATAGGCTCAAAACATCTCTTCTTTCATTTCTAATGTTTTGTGGCAGTGCAACTCAACAGTAACATGCTTGTAGAGCATGCACAGTCCAGGGATTAGACTCTCCCCCGCCCCCAGATATCTAGTTTTTCTCTTTCAATCTTTTCAGTTCAACCCATTTTTCCTCGCAAAGTCCAGATTCCAGCTATCATAATCAAGTCTTCCCCCATTCTCATGGCCCCTTGAATTCCTACAGCTTTAAAATAATGTGAAACAGTAAGCTTCGTTATTGGTGATCTGAGGGCTTCTCTCCTGAAAGGCAGTAGCAGTAGTTCCCATTGATGCTCTAAGGGCAGAGTTAAGTATCAGAAAAGCTGTGATGAAAACAGCTGAAGGCTTTGTAGTGTTCACTGGGGCCCGTCTTGTGCCGGAAGAGAAAATCTCCACAAATGTGTCTAAGTTCATTGAATATACATTAATGATATGTAGTCATAATGTTCGATACTTTGAGATTGTCAGAATAATTGAATTTATTCAATGAAATTTCAATATTGTTTGTACTGCTTTCTCATATATATTTACATATATATGTATATATAATTGAAGCACAGAGACCATTTCCCTCCCTTTCCTCCCTTCTATACGTCTCCTGGTCCTCTCTCTAAATTTCACACTGTCTGTCCTCTTATTTAATTGTTGCTTCATATACACACAAATGAACAAACATAAAAATACAATCAACTGAGTATTGCCTGCAGATCACTTGCCATCAAATAACCGATCAAATGGATCATCCTAGGGAAAATGGGTTATCCTGATCTCAACAGCTCTTAATACCTTGTAGCTCTTCGTTTAAGGTTGGACCCAGTGAAGTTTCCCCCATCTGGGTTTGGATGTCAACTGTTGTTGGATTATTCAGGTCACATCAGGTAGTTATGTTGCTGGAACCTCATCAGTGTAGGCTTCCTGTCCTAGCTAGAGGACACAATTACACAGCAAACTTCTTGGTTTTCTGGCTTTCACAGTCTTTTGGCTCCCCCTCTTCCTTGATATCCCCTGAGCCTAAGGCGCAGGAGATTTGTTGTTGATGCATTAACTGGAGCGGAGCCCTCCACAGTCAGGTGTTTTCTGCTATTAGACAAGTTGTAGTTTTCTGTAACGGGAACTTTCTGCACAAAAATAAGTTTCTTTGATGACAGGTAAAAGCTACACTTATCTTAGTATAGCAATGCATATTTAGAATTCATTTAGGCAGAATGCTGGGTTAGGGAAACGCCAGAGGTAGTGTTCCTCTAGATACTGTGACTAAATTCTCACCACGTGATGTAGCTGACTATGTTTACAGCAGCAGGATAATTTTTCTCCTGTTAAGTGGGTCTTAAGTCCAATTAGACAAGCATTGCATACTGCCAAGATATGAGAACCCCTGCTGCACCCTTAGGGATGCCCTGGCATGTTGGTCATTGTTGTGATTCATATATGTCACAGCGATTAATTGCTCTCCTCCCTCAGTGGCTTGCGTGTCATCTTCTGGTACTATGAAAGCTAGTCCTCAGGGAGGACGTTTCCAGGTCAATTCTAGCTTAAGTGTTCTGACTCCTCAACAAGTCTTCCCATTCTCATGACACAACAAATTATGTGGTGTCAATAGCAATAGGAACATACCTTCAACATGTTTACCACATATGTGTAAATATAAAGTAATGATAATAATAATAAATGTCTTCTTCAAGAATCCTTAGTGTTTCATGTCCCCTTCCCTCTTTCCTGTGTCTTTCTCCTTTTCTGTGTTGTCCTCCTTTCCCCATTAAAGCCCCCTTCACATCTCTCATGTCCCATTTCATATCATATCACCTATATCTTTCTGTCCCTCGCTAGAACCTCCTCCCCAGTTCCTCTGTGTTTTCCTCGTTTCTGCAGTTACTCCAGGTCATATACTCACATCTAAAGATTTGGAGCTAGGAACACAGGTGAGAGACAACATGCAGCCCTTGTCTTCATATATAAATTCACTCAATATTTGGAGTCTCCTTGGAATGATATAATGTGAAAATCAAGTTATATGCATGGGGATCCTGGCTTCCAGAATCTTACTAAATTCTTTTTTTTTCTTTTTAATTTTAGAAAATTGTAAAGAGTTGAAAGGGACTGTCAGCCATGAAGTGACCCACCTGAAACCTTATACATATTATGGAGTGTCACTCCACGCCTACGTCGATGGCAGGGTGCGACGCAATGGGAGTGCTGAGCAATGCTTCTTTCAGACAAAAGCGGCGCGTAAGTGCTTTGCTATAATGTGTCTTCCATGAATGATAAAGAACAACAAATGCCATTTTCATGTACAATTCTTTGATATTTCTACTTTGTTTGAGAAATATATCGGTTTTGCAAGTTTATTGGCATCTAAGATTTTTTTTTTAAAAAAAATATTAGATTTTTTTAAAAAAAATACCAATCCAAGTTCCCACTCCCTTCCCTCCTCCCATTCTCTCCACACACCCTCCCACCCCACCCCCATCTAATCCACAGAGAGGGTAAGGCATATTGCTTTGGGGAAGGTCCAAGGACCGTCCTACTATATCTAGGCTGAGCAAGGTATCCATCCAAAGAGAACAGGTTCCCCAAAAGCCAGTACATGCAGCAGAGATAAAACCTGGTGCCATTGCCCCGGTGCCAGTGGCCCCTCAGTTTGCCCCAGCAATGCAACTGTCAACCACATTCAGAGGGGCTAGTTTGGTCCTATGCTTGTTTGTTCCTTCCCGGTCAAGCTGGAGTTGGTGAGCTCCTATTAGCTCAGGTAAATTGTTTCAGTGGGTGAACTCATCATGGTCTTGACCTCTTTGCTCATATTTTCATTTCTTTCACTCTTCAACTGGATTTTGGGAGCTCGGTCCAGTGCTCCGATGTGAGTCTCTGCCTCTGTTTCAATCAGTTGCTGGATCAGTTCTATGGTCATAATTAAGGTGATCATCAGCCTGATTACAGGGCAAGTCAAGATCAGGCCCCCTCTCCTCTATTGCTTAGGGTCTTAGCTGGGGTCATCCTTGTGGATTTCTGGGAATTTCTGCTAACCCTATAATGACTCTCTCAATCAAGATATTTCTTTCCTTGCTCTCATCTCTGTCCTTCTCCATCTTGACTATATCATTCCCTCAAGTTCTCCTCAACTCTTCCCTTCTCCTCTCCTCCTCCCCTTCTATCCTCCCTTCTCTCCCCCCCCAGCATATAAGATTTTAAATAATATTAGAAAAAATATCTAAAAATTGTTAATGGTTAAAAAGGATAATGGTTCACTATCCTTATCAGATAAAGTCACAGGGCTGAAGGAAGAAAGCTGGGGGCATCATCAGCCAGTGTGCTTTGTAAGACTTCAAGCACTTAAGTCCCCCAGCAACTTAGATTACAAATTCTCACTTTCCTATCTAGAAATACGAAGTGCACCGAGATGCTTACGATGCCCTACAGAGCACTGGCTCCTATTCCCATGACACAACATTTCACAATACACAGCCTTTATTTATGTCGTGTTGTACACTGGGAATTTCAATGGTCTTGCTTCCGGTGCTGTGTTCACATAGTTTGCAGAAACAAAGCAAGATTAGTGTTCAGAGTAACTGCTAACTTCAATTAGGGGCAGGGAAGAGGAAAGAGTCTGGGGTTAGGGTAGGAGCTATGGTTGTAGGACCTAATGAGCTCCAGATTCCTGAAAAAAAAAAACCCACAACATTCTCCACATCACTTAGGCTCATGATTTAAATGTCCAAATCCTAAAATCCTGGTAGAGAGAGGAAAAGTGTGCACATAATCCCATCCCTAGCTCAGGAACTGTTGGCATTTAGTACTACTAGAGGAAAGTCAGTTTTCTTTAATGATGTCAACCTTGATAGGCTGACCACACATTAGGACAGGCTCCAAGTCCAAAAGCTAGCTTAATGGGGGCAAGAAGAAGAGGAGTAAAACTCAAAGCTGAATAGGGACGGGTGACAGGGCAGAGCCGATGGTTAGAGCAGGAGCAGGGGGTCCATGTATGCATAGGCTCAAACATACGTTTTATGACATTCTCAAAGAATTAATAAAATTTTGAAAAATTTCCAGGTCCTACAACTGTATGTTACTATTGCCTTCCCAGGTTTTGGGGATGTCAAAGCAAATGAAAGCAATTTGTTGCTTCAGGAATCTCACCTGATTGAGGAGGAGACTGATGAGAAAAGGAAGGCCTGGGGTGGAGAGGGGACTTATACCTGTTTCTCTGGCACCCTTCCTCACCCTGCCTCCTTCTCACTTTGCAGTGCTATTTAGTTCCACATCCTGTTCTTCAGGGATTGTGCAAATTCTCAAGACTTCCAGCAAGCTTTATACATTAACACTTAATGAAGAGGTGATTTATTTTTAGATGTTTTGATACAGATTTTGAATCTGTGTTCTCGTGTGCAGACCAACATTTTAAATGGTTTACGTTGTACTCAGGTTTCACGTTATGTAAATTCTCACATATCGAACGATTAAGATAACACACCTTTCTTTATTTTGATAGCACCAAGCAAGGTCAATGAAGTGAAAGCCATCCGGACATCACAAAATGTTATAATTGTCACATGTGAACCTCCTAATGAAATTAATGGTCCCAAGAAATTTTACATTTTGGAAGTCAAAAGTAAAGGTTCTGTACCTTTGAAATTCAACAAAACCACATGCAGATTTGATGTAAAGGATCTCTACTACTTAACTGACTACACATTTCAGGTAAACTCCTGTTTTCTGTCATCGCTGCGTTCCCCAGCTGCAGCACAGTGTTTCAGCCTTAGCACTTCCATGGCACTAAGGTCAAACTCATATGAACTTAAAGATCTCTGACGATTTGTGAAATCAACACTTTAGAACATTCAAAAATTTGATGCCATGCATTTTATCTCTGGAACGAAAAGCAAGGTTTTAAGGCAAAATTTTATTAGAGTATTTGCAACTTCAAAATGACTACTGTAGGGAAGTTATTGCTTGTGTGTTGGTTGTTGGAGGGAGCCATTTGTTTTTCCCCACCACCCAGCTAGCTTAGACCTGAAATAGTCACACAGATACTGTATTAATTGAATTACCGCTTGGTCCATTAGCTCTAGTTTCTTATTTGCTAACTCTTAGATCTTAGTTTAACCCATTTCTAGTAATCTGCTTATTGTCAGGAGGTCATGGCCTACTGGCAAGGTTTCAACACCTCTGTCTTGGGCAATGGCACTATGGCTCTCTCTCTCCACTTCCTTCTCCCAGCATTCAGTCCAGTTTTCTCCGCCTACCTAAATTCTGCCCTATCAACAGACCAAGGCAGTTTCTTTATTCATTAACCAATAAAAGCCATACATAGAAAGAAAGACCTCCCATATCATCTGATAGAAGAAAATTCATGGGTAGCAGATCTTTACTTTGCCAAATATTGATATTTATTGTTTTCAACTACAAAATTTTATGTCTGCTTTGAAATTAGAAAATACCAGAAACAAATTCAAGAAAACATTCGAACATAAAGTGAACGTCAGGAACCTTTAAATATCTGTAATTTCACCACAGACTGGGCATTATAAAGATATTTCTGTTGTTTGTAATGAAAATTTCTATGCATTAGATAAAATCACCATTTCTAAGACAGTTCAGCAAATTTTATTTTTTCCTGTATTATTTTATCATGCTTGTCTTTCCACATTTTTTGTTACTTAACTTCCAATAGTGGCATGGGGTTCTTTCATATACTTTTATCATATTCTATGAATGATAACTATATTGAACTCTAATAAGCACGGCATTCAGTAAACATGTTTTTCAATAAATAACAACTTCTTTTGATATCTTTAATACTTTCTACTCAATACACGAAAAGTTCAACTTAAGGAAGGACAGTCTTACCGTGACTTCTAGTTTGAGGGAAAGCATTATGTCAGGAGCCTGATAAAACTGGTTGCATTGCACCTGTATTCTGAAAGCAGAGAGAGATGGATATTGGTACTCTGCTTGCTCTCTTATAATTGTTTCATTTAGGACCCTCCACCTGGTCGGTCTATATTGCTGCATTTTGGGTTGGTTTTCTTTCTGCAGTTAACTCTACTCCCTTACAGACATGCCTAGAAATATATTTCTTAGGTTATTCTAGATCGGTCGAAGTGGCAACCAGAATTAACCCGCATAAGCCTCTTTGTGAACTTGACACACAAGCGTATAACTTTGAATCCACCTATTACGATCTCCTCATCTTCCCCTTTAAACTTGCTCACACATTTTCTCCACCCAACACCACATTTTTGTGTTTCTCCTCGTACTTCCTGAATTGCTGAATGAGAGCAGTAAGCAGTGGCCCTGCTCCAGTCTGAACACTGTGCTACCATGAGATTTCCTCCACCGAAGAGATGAACCCATTTCTTTCTAGTTCACTACTTCTCAGTCTCTCAGCCACAGACAGAATGTAGTTAGATTCTTTGCCAAAATGGATCACGTAGCTGACACATTTAGTCTTGGTTCCCTCCAAGCCTTGCAACACCATAAGCTGGGCATTTACTATTTGCCGTTTTCTTGGCACTCTTGTCTTCTGATTCCTATAAGAATTATGTATCATGTTCTTCTTAAAGCATTCTCAGCCTTCTTTAGAATGAATCTCCAGACTCTTCTACCTTTGCACAAACCATTTCCAAAGGAGTGAGGTCATGTGCTCAGGTGTATCACAGTAATCATCCCATTCCTCGGAGGAAATTTTCTTCATCAGTTTTACTTTATCTAATGAAGGCACATGAGTATGTGAACATGGCCAATATATGCTATAGTGCACAGACATGGAAGTTAGAGGACATGTCCGGGAAACCAATTGTCTCCTTCTACCATAGACTCAAGGGATTGAATTCAGGTTGCCAGGCTTGTATAGCAAGCAGTTTTATCTGTGGAGTGATCTCATTGACCTCTGGCTTTCTATATTCGCTACTTGTCTTCTTTCTCTGACAACATACCTGGCAAATCGACTTGAAGAGAGAATGTATTTTTCTTACAGTCGGAGGTGGGTCCAGTCCAGCTTGGTGGGGAAGTGATGATGGCAGGGCCATGAGGCATCTGGCTACGTTTTATCTACAGCTACAGAGCGACAGAGCAATATAAAGCCTACTTTCTCTTTATTATTAAGTCTCATTATTTATTTAGTCTAGCATGAAATGGCGCTACCCACATAGAGGTTGGGTCTTATTCCTCAACTAACTCCTTTACAGATATATTTTGAGTTTCTTTCCATAGGTGATTATAGATACTGTCAATTTGACAAAGAACATTAACTATTACAAAATGACTACCTTGGCTTCTTGCACTCCAAGTATTTTTGTATAACCACCTTTTTCGACTACAATTTTAAGGAAGAAAGGTAGTGTGTTAGTTATGGTTCTCTGGAGTAACAGAACAGAATGAATATATATGAGATTTATTATAGTGGCTTATAGGCTGTGGTTCATCTCTTCCAACAATGGCTATTTAACAAGGGAAAGTCCAAGAATTCAGCAGCTGTTCAGTCCATGAGGTGGGATGTCTCACTTGGTCTTCAGTATATGCCAGAATCCTGAAGAAGAAATATGTTCTAATGCCAGTGACAGAATGCCTTGATAGCAAGAGGAAGGGCAAGCAAGCAAAGAGCAATTACTTCCTTCTTTTGTCTCTTTTATATAAGCTTCCACAAAAAGGCGTGGTCCAGATTAAGGCCTAGAAATCTAGATATGCAATGGGTCTTTCCACTTAAGATTCAATGAAAGAAAAAAAATCCCTAATAAACATACCTAGCTGCTTGGGTTTTACTTAATTCCAGATATAATCAAGTTGACAACCATGAATAGTCATCACAAATATGTTGGAATCCATAAAAATATATATGGTGCTGTGTTATATGGTGCCAGAGTAGTCTGATTTGGTCCCAGGGTGAATTACAGTATTGGGTTTTCTAATGCTAAACACTCATCATATTCCAAGAGGTAAATTATCTCTTCTCTTTCACAGTTCATTATTGTTTTAATGCATCAATGAATAAATAGTTGAATATTTTATTATTCTATGGGTAGGTATTCACAAAGGGGACAATTCAATAAATAGGAAGAAATGGGTTTGACAACTTTGTGGTATGCATAACTTTTGTTGCATTTTGAATATATTTCACTCTTTTTCAATGTTGTGAAACTATAAATAGTATAGGGATGGTTTGTATCCTAGAAATCCCTTTGATTCTTTGATACATAGCTATTCTTTGAGAATCATTTACATTATCTTTCACAATCATTGGTTCTTGCAGATATTTGTTTGAGTGTGCCATTTATATGTTCCTGAAGGGTGTTCCACATGGAGAGACAGTGTGCTGTTTGTTACTAAAGCATGCTGCATTATGTTCCATTGTGGCAACTTCCCCAGTGGCCACAAAGCCCTTGGCACAGTGTTCCATTTAGTCTCTCACACACTCAGCTTTTATCTTGTTGATGACTTCACTCCATGGCATGCTTTTCTTCCTAGGATTCTCTTTTCCACTCTTCAGACATTGTAAATTATTCTTGGATATATGAGTGAACATTATAAACATAAAATTCAAATTAAGAGACAATTTTCACTTAGCTATTCCTTCTTTCACTGTACAAATAGATCTGTTGTTTTCTTCATTTCACTTGCCATAATTTATTTTCACATACATTTATGACCCTAAAGCAATATACATATTTTCATGAGGTATAATCATATCATATTTACTCAGTATCACCATTTCCACTAAAATATTTATATTTGTTTTATTATTAATAATTTATTTCTAGTAATTCATTTGGATGTTTTCCTCATTGTATCTTTACTTCTTATGAAAATAATCATTATATTAATAATTATAAATAATAATGATCATTATTACCATGGTTTGGAAACATTTGTACATGTCTTGTCAGTCATAGCTGCCTGCCTGCACACAGAAAGCAATGGGTTCTTAAAGTCTATTGTTTGTTCTGATTGTTTCTACCTTGATGACTTCAAAAGAGTCTATGATGGATACTTGGAAGAGTTTATGATGTACTATATCTGTGTAGTTTAAAATTATATTGCAGTGAATTGTATTACTTTATAAAAGGTAATTGATACAATCTGGTTTATGGGTATTGGGAAATCCTATATGCACCTGTATAGAGAGTGAAGGCTTCCGTGCATGATTGCCTTCATCATGCCGGTTCCTTGCAATGGTGTCATTCAGATCTATTTTTGCATAATTTATGTGGCATCAGTAGTCTTGTTTCAGCACCCCTTTCAGTTTCTGTTTAGATCAAGCTGATTTTCTTTATTTATATTAAATTTTATGAGCTCTAGGTGCTTATGCTTTCCACACTGCAATTTGTTCATGTCTTTACCTTCAAAAACATGCATATTCCACATCCAACTCTTGTAAGTAGCAGATTTACCTTAAAAATAAATGTGAGCCTGCTAGCGTATTAATAGACAACTTTATTTTTTTGTCTATTTACTATAGCTTAAAATTAAAATTATTCATTCTGGATTTCATTTCTTGGACTGTGTTCTTCCATTTCCATTTGTTACTGATGTCATTCCTAAGAGAGGTCAACCCCCTTTCAAACTTTTTGACTGTGTACAATGAAATAACTGTAAAGTCTCAGCTTTTACTCAGGAGGTTTTAATGACAATAAGTAGCATTTATGAAAAATAATGTACATTTCATAACATGCCATGAACACTTATAGAGAAAACTAATCTTTTTCTTTTTTTTTCTTTTAATTGAAATTTAGGTCTCTTTTCACAATGGAGAGTATCAGGGAGAAGCAGTTGTTGAAAATCAATCAACATCTTGTAAGTCATACTGGCCTATTTTTCCCACCTCTATCTGTGTGCATTTGTTTGACAAAGATGTACTCTTTTTGCATCCATAGACTGACTCCATAGTTGGTTATATATATTTCATAAATACCTGCAATTTTCAAAAATCTAAGGAAAAACTTAGAATACAGTGTCATAAAAATTAAATTAATAGATTTGATCATTTAGTCACTAAGTGAATGTTGTCTTTATTACAAATTTTTATAATATTTGCTTGACCTGACAGATGCTCTTGGTAGTTCTTTGAAATGGGACTACTTTCTTGACTGTGATGCTTGACATATATTTGTGCTACTGGTGTGTGTGCTGATGACGTCTCATTTTCTAAGATACCTTAAGTGTCTGCAGCATCATTAGAGACAATAAAGCACACACACACACAAAAAAAAACGGGGCCTGGGGGATTGTGGATAGCTACTTTTCTCTGTGCTATTCACAGTCTATCATTTATGGGAATTACACTATTTAGCCTCAATTTAGGAATTAAGGAACTAAGGTGCAAAGATAATAGGATTCTGGCCAAATTCCTTTCCAGGAAGTAAGAACTAAGGTTGGAGGCCCAACAGCCTGTCTCCAGGACTCAAACCTTGATGTCACTGCATGGGTTTACTGCCTTTCCATTGTGGGCATAAAAAGGATGGTATGTGACCCAGGATAAAGATATGCCAATCCTGCTTGCCCTAGGCATGTGGTTCACATTGATTCTTTGTGAAAACTCAAGCTACAGAAAGTGTTAATCCTCACTGTCAAATGAAATAAATTTTGTCTCTTGGCTAATTGGTTCTATTCCCCAATGAGCATGTAAGAGATTTATCTTTGTGGGGTAGAAGCTTTTATGAATCCCTTAGGAGGCTACCCACTTCTGTGCTCAATGGTAAACTATGAGTTTCTTTCTGAAAGCTGTAATAACTACATTACCTCATTGATCCCTTTAAAATGAGTCTGTGAAAGGGAATTAAATCTAAATGATAGTTTTCTACAAAAGTACAGTATTTAATGAAAAGAAATGGAAGTACTCATCTATATTCTAATTAGTCTCTTTAAATATAAAGGCCTTGGGAATGTTGAAATAACAGAGCCCATCACTGCAAAATCATGACTTTAATGTATTTTATCTTATTCTAAAATTTTAGCTTTGAATCTTTACCATAAATGAAAAATACTAAAATTCTAGTTCATGAAGATCAGACACATTGTCTAGCAAAGTATTTGACATAATAAGTTCTCGTGTGTCATTTTTATTTCTAGATAATGATAAAGCACTGATTACATTCCTGATATTTCTGATTGTTGTGACATCAATAGCCCTGCTTGTTGTTCTGTATAAAATCTATGATCTGCGTAAGAAAAGATCCAGGTAAGAGACAATGTTGAATTAGGAGGTAATAGTGGTTGTAATAATGTCACAAGTTGTTGCCCAAAATGCATTGACCAAGCAATGAGAGAAGACAGCACGAACTTCAGTTCATGGCTTAACATGAAATTATTGGCTAACTGTAAGTACTTATACTCACTACATTTGTTAATGATATTGTAGGCCTGTTTTGACACTAATTAGTGCAAAGACGGTGTACCTTCTCTTTTAATTCTCAGTAGATGAAAGTAATCTGAGGACAGCAAATGCAGAAAGAGGGACATTCTTGGAAGTGCATTCATTATTTTGCCCAAGAAGATAAACATTTCTGAATACTGGAAGGACTCTCTTGATTCATTCTCATCCTTCTGAAATTTACAGGCAACCCTTGGTTGCTTTCTCTCCCCTCTTGCTTTCTTCATTCTCCCTAAATTCTTGTTTTATCTCTCCCACTTTACATCCTTCTGTTTTCCCTCCTTTTCTAATTTCCCTACCCCTTTTTCTCTTATCCACACCTCTATTTCTCCTGTCACTCACTACATCCAGAAAACAGTGTTTGCTCAGTTACCTTGAACACCAAGTGAATTCCATGTTTCTTATTTTCACAGCAATTTAGATGAACAACAAGAACTTGTTACAAGGGGTGAGTATAAATAATTTTTACCATTGAAAGTTATTTTTCTGAATTTGCAACCTCTTATTTTAAAATAAGAGCTGTGCATTTTTAAAAAATTCAACCTGAAATTTGTCCACTGACAAATTTTGAAGCAAATTTACATTTCTGCAAAAGTAGCCATCTATGTGAAGTTCTCAAGGTATCACAAATATTATCTATGGCACTGAGCGTACCATAGTGACAGGCCATTGTCTCTGCCCTTTAAGGTTTGGGTTTCTAATGGAAGAAGCAGGTCTGCTGATGAGTAGGAACAATTTGGAAAACATTAGGCTGGGTAATGTGCATAGTGCTGTAGAAAGATAAACGATAGAAAATTGCCTGTGGAGGGTGCAGGAATTCAGTTGGCAAAGACTCCGGGGAAACATCAGACAAACTAGGAAAGAAGGAAGAACGGGAGAGTGGATGATATTCTATAGTGAGGAAGTGATGTGGAATATCTTCAGATTTTTCCAGAGTGGGACAGTGGAACCTCCCACTGAAGGCACAATGATAAATAAGATAGACAATATATAAAGTAAGGCCATTCCTTCTTCCAGTCTTTATAAAATTTCTTTATGTTTTAAAGACAGAACCAGTAAAAACCATTAAGGACGTTTAGACTATGTTTACAATAATTAAAGTAGCTTATTTAAGATGTTGGGTCCAGGGGCATCACACAAAGAAAGGGACAGACCACCAAAGTCTAAAAAAAACCAAAAGCATACTTTATTCCAGAAACCAAATTCCAGGAAAATCAGAAGCAAACTTAAAAATAAAAATAAAATTCTTGTTTCTAGACCCTTCAAAGACGCAGAATTTCACAGCACCCGTGTGTCTGGTGCTATCTCCTGTGTGAAGGGTTTCCTTCTGACAACAGGGGGCAGCAAGCGTGTGTGCAGCAGCTTTTGGGCTGATTCTTCACAGATCCTTAAGTTTAGTCTCCTTTAGAGACGGGATCACAGCCTGACACAGTTGTACTTGCTTATGTCTTTTTCATTTTCATAAGTAGGCTGCAGACTTTGGGAAGGTGGGAGGGTCTTCTTTTTTTTTCTCAGTGTTTCTCCCCAGTGCCCAGGAATTAAGGGCATGCTAATGAATAGATGAAGTCAACAAGGTAGTATTTCTAGAGTGTTACTTCTGTTAGGCTGACAGGAGAAGGAGGTACAAAAGTGTGGTCAGTTCTGGGCAGAGGGCAGAACACACTTCCCAGAGTTGAGGTGGATTGGAAGGATCAGAGGTTTCATGGTGTAATTAGTACCAATTGCAACTGGGATGATTTTAGAACTTACCGACTCTCAACACAGCCCTCAGCTCAGCATGGATGAGTTCCAGGCATCTTTCACCGCCTAATGGAACTACTTACTGCAACTAGACCAAGTGGTAATTGTGTTTGTAAACAAAGTTTTTGTGAACAGTGAGATAGCTGTACCACACTCATGGACAGCTCTTTCTTCATCTAACAATGGGGACAGTTACCATGATACCTGGAAAAAGAATCAGAAACAGGAGTTGGAACAGTAGGAGAAATATTTCTATGTGTGACAGCACAAACTTTCTTAACCTTTTAAAAATCATGGTCTGCGGGGCTGGAGAGACATCTCAGAGGTAAAGAGAACTGGCTTCTCTTGAAGAGGACCTGGGTTAATTCCCAGCTTCCACATGGCTGCTCACAATTGCCCTAGAATCCAGATTCAGGGAATCAGATATTCCCTTTACTGACCTGTGTGAGTCCTGCATGTATGTGGTGCACAGGCATAAATATGAACAAAAACTCATACACATAAAATATATCAAATAACAAATATATGTCTTGTAAAAGCTTATATTTTGTCAAGATCTATGTATAAATAATGGTGATAATGAAAGCTTTCCTAATGGAAAAAAAGGGTAGTATGCAGTACCCATCTACACTCTTTCTTTAAAGGATAAAAACTTGTCCTACAATGTATTTAATTTTTAAATATTCTTGAGTACAAAAGATGAATATAATATGTTTGATAATATACTGTAACAAAATTAAGATGAATGATGAACAGAATAATATTAATCACTTTCTCTTATCATCTGTATAATTGTAATAATGCACAAAATTTAAAAATGGAGGCTGGGGATAGAATTGCTGGGTAAATATTTTTTTAGCATGTGTGAGACTGTTGATAAGAAAAATCATAATCATGGAATATAGAAATATGTCAATTAATATCAATTCCATGTAACCAGTCAAAACCATGGATATCTAACAATAGTAAAATTTTTTAGGGGCCTTTTACCTTGTCATAGGAAAAGGAGAAGCTCATTCTAGTAAAGAGAATAATATAAAGTCAGATTTACAAGTCATTAATTTATAAGCAAACACTTCCATGGGAATGAAATTTCCCACAAAGATGGAGAGAAGAAAATTGTTGAGGAGTAAGTTCAAGCTGGGAATTCTATTAATGTATGCATATCTGAGAGACAGACACAACACTGGTCTTGAATCTAACTTGTTTACAGATGAGGAAAAGCAACTGATGGATGTGGAGCCAATTCATGCTGACGTTTTGCTGGAAACGTATAAAAGAAAGATTGCTGATGAGGGAAGGCTTTTTCTGGCGGAATTTCAGGTATGTGTCATCATTGATACAGGGTAAGAAATTCCACATGGTCATCAAGATGAGTACATGCTAAGTATATTTGCACAACCATTTGCCTTAATAATTTATCCACAGAACACAGCAATGCAGTGCAGACATATGTTACTGCAATATTTACAGATGAGAGACTCATTAAGGATGCAAGGTCATTCACATTATAAAACTGGTAAACATCATAGTATAATGCTTTAGTGCATTGTAACTGATTGTAAAGTCCTGTCATGAAACATATTTGGCTCATTTTGTTCTTATGTTCTATATGACTATCTAATTATCAGTCATGAACTAAGGTTTTGAGTGTCATATTGATTATTGTATTCAATGTAGGATTAAGATTTTTTTCTGAATTTATTTTTTAATTTAATTTTTCTGTCATTAATTTTATAGAAAAGATGTGTTTTTTGAAAAATACATAATAAAATTAATTCCTGCTATTTTATTTAGCATGTTTATCAGTAGAAAGGATATATTTATAAGTTACCTCATTTACCTCCAGTGACAACTGGCAAAGGAGAAACTAACTTAATATCCATTCCTTCCTTCCTCCCTTCCTCCTTCCCTCCCTCTCCCCTCCCCTTTCTTTCCATCCTCTTCCTCTTCTTCCTTCTCCTTCTTTTTTTCAGAATCTTCTGTAACCCCAAGAATCTTTGTGTCTTTTAGAGCATTCCACGGGTATTCAGCAAGTTTTCCATCAAAGATGCTCGGAAGGCCCACAACCAGAATAAGAACCGTTATGTTGACATCCTTCCCTGTGAGTGCAAGTAGGGAACTGAGCTTCCGTATGCTGAAACTGCGTGACTACTCAGTACTTCAATACTGAAGTGTTCTTCTCTTTAAACAGATGATTATAACCGTGTTGAACTCTCTGAAATAAATGGAGATGTAGGGTCCACCTACATAAATGCCAGCTACATTGATGTGAGTAAATATGCTCTTGTTGCCTTATAGCCTCTTTTGGCTGGTGGAAATGTTCATTTTTTTTGTATGTATATGTTCCATTGAGTTTCTTCACTGTTTCTGTAAAACTTTAAGGAAGTAAGAAATATTTTCAGTTAAACTCATAACATAGCTGACACCTACAACAAAATCATTAATGTTTGCAAAAGTAGTTATGTGTATGCTTGCTGGTGCTAGAAGTAAATAGTGCTTCTTTTTAGCCAAGATTAAAACCTACTCTTTGCTGTGCATTAAACTGAATGCTCTCTGCATACATTTCTCATAAGAATTCTGCATTTCTTCATCTGAGCACACTATGCCCTCTAGATATAAGAGAAGTGGGAAGCTCAGGTTCTTTAGTCATTAAAAGACTAAAGAAATCATCAAAGGCTTAACGGAGATACAGTTCAGGTATACTTGACCCCAAATTGTTGTGTTTCTGTTCTATAAGGCGCTGCAGTAGCCACCTTCTCCACTGATGCTACTCATCCCCTGTGTAGTTATCCAAATTGAAAATATTTAGCCAGAATTTATTAAAACATTTAAAAATTTGGATTATATAATTTTCAATTACGCCTGCTTCCTGTGAGCTAAAGAATTTTACATGGTAGGGAAACACATATGTATGGCTGAGAACATCTCCTTACCCATTCTACCCAGTTTTTTCTTCTGTCAGGCGAGTCCTCATGAATTCATAGTTTCTTTTTTCATTTTGTTTTTTTTTTAAAGAAAACAAGTCATCTTTTCTTCATTTTACACACAAATACCAGTTCCTACTCCCTCCCCTTCTCCCATTTCTTCCACCCTGTCCCCCCAGAGCGGGCAAGGCACACTGCTCTGAGGAAGGTCCAAGGTCCTCCCTACTACATCTAGGTTGAGCAAGGTATCCATCCAAAAAGAATGAGTTCCCAGAAAGCCAGTACAATCAGTGATAAATCCTTATGCCACTGTCAGTGGCCCAGCAGTCTGCCCCAGCCATATAACTATCATTCACACTCAGGGTTCAGTTTGGTCCTATGCTGGTTTCTTCCCTGTCTGGCCAGAGTTGGTTATCTCCCAACTGGACTTTGTAAGCTCAGCCCAGTGCTCTGCTCTGGGTCCCTGCCTCCATTTCTATCAGTTGCTAGATGAAGGTTGTATAGTGATATTTAAGATACTCATCAATCTGACTACAGGGCAAGATCAGTTCGGGCACCCTCTCCTCAATTGCTTATAGTCTTAGCTGGGGTCATCCTTGTGGATTCCTGGGAATTTTTCTAGTGTCAGGTTTCTTGCCAGCCCCACAATGTCTCCCTTAATCAAAATATCTCTTTCCTTGCTCTCCGTCTCTGTCCCGCTTCCATCTCAACTATCCCATTCCCTCAAGTTCTCTTCCTCTCCCCTCCTTCTCCATTCCCACCTCTCTTCTCCTCCCACCTCCATGCTTCCAATTTTATCAGGAGATCCTGTCTATTTCCCCTTCACAGGTGGATCCATATATGTTTTTCTTAGGTTCACCTTGTTACTTAGCTTCTCTAGGCTCATGGACTATAGGCTTGTTATCTTTTGCTTTACAGCTAGTATCCACTTATGAGTGAGTACATACCAGGTTCGTTTTTCTGGGTCTGGGTTACCTCACTCAGGATGATTTTTCTAGTTCCATCCATTTCTTTGCAAATTTTAAGATATTATTTTTTACTGCTGAGTAGTACTCCATTGTGTAAATGTATCACATTTTCTTTATCCATTCTTCAGTTGAGGGGTTTCTAGGTTGTTTCCAAGTTCTGATCATTACAAATAATGCTGATATGACCATAGTTGAACAGATGTCCTTGTAGTATATGGGCATACCTTGGGTATATAGCCAAGAGTGATATTGTTGGATTTAGAGGTAAATTGATTCCAAATTTTCTGAGAAACTACCATACTGAGTTCCAGAGTGAATTTTCATGTTTGCATTCCCACCAGCAATGGAGGAGTATTCCCCTTACTCCACATCCTCTCCAGCATAAACTATCTTTGGTGTTTTTATATTAATCATTCTGACTGGTGTAAAATAGTGTCTTAGAATTGTTTTGATTTTCATTTCCCTGATGGGTAAGGATGTGGAACATTTTTTAAAGTGTCTTTGGGCCATTTGAGATTCTTATATTGAGAATTCTCTGTTTAGTTCTGTACCCCATTTTTTAAAACTGGATTATCTTGTAATTTGATGTCCAATTTCTTGAGTTCTTCAAATATTTTGGAGATCAGACCTCTGTCTGACGAAAGGTTGTTGAAGATATTTTCTCATTTAGTCAGCTGTCTTTTTTGTCTTCTTGAATCTGTCCTTTGTTTTACAGAAGCTTCTCAGTTTCAATAGGTCCCATTTATTTATTGTTGCTCTCATTGTCTGTGCTACTGGTGTTATATTTATGAAGTAATCACCTGTACCCATATATTGAAGGCAACTTCCCAGTTACTTTTCTGTCAGGTTCAGTGTGGTAGGATTTGTATTGAGGTCTTTAATACATTTGGACTTGTGTTTTGTGCATGGAGATAGATATGAATCTTTTCCATTTATCTACATGTTGACATCCAGTTATGCCAGCATCATTTAAAGATTCTATCCTTTTCCATTCTATAATTTTAACTTCTTTGTCAAAAATCAGGTGTTCATAGGTGTGTGGATTAATATCCAAGTATTTGATTTGGTTTCATTGGTCAACATCTCTGTTTTTTTGCTGATATTAAGCTGTTTTCATTACTGTAGCTCTATAATAGAGCTTGATGTCAGGGATTGTGAATCCTCTGGAAGTTCTTTCAGTGTTTTGGATAAATTTCAGCATTGTTTCGTCTATCTTAGGCTTTTTTAGTGATTCCATATAACTTTATTATTGTTCTTTCAAGGTCTGTGAAGAATTGTGTTGGAATTTTGATGGGGATTGCATTAAATATATTGATTGCTTTTGGAAGGATTTTTCATTATGTTTATCATACCTATCCAAGAGCATGGGAAATCTTTTCATTTTCTGGCAACTCATTCAATTTCTTTCTTCAAAAACTTAAAGTTCTTGTTGAACAGGCCTTTCACTTCTTTAATTAGTGTTACCCAAGATATTTTATGTTATTTGTGCCTATTGTGAAGGGTGATGCTTCTCTGATTTCTTTCTCAGTTTCTTTATCTTTGATATGCAGAAGGGCTACTGAATTTTTTGAATTGATCTTGTATATTACCGCGTTACTGAAGGTATTTTTCAACTGTAAGAGTTTCCTGCTAGAGTTTTTGGGGTCACTTTTATATACTATCATGTCATCTGCAAATAACAAAAGTTTGACTTCTTTCATTCAAATCTGTTTTGTTGTCTTATTGCTCTAGCCAGAACTTTAAGAACTATGTTGGATAGATATGGAGAAAGTGGACAGCCTTGCCTTGTTCCTGGTTTGAGTGGAATTGGTTTGCTTTTCTCTCCTTTTAATTTGATGTTGGCTGTTGGATTGCTGTATACTGCTTTTATTATGTTTAAATATGTTCTTGTATCCCTGATCTCTCCAAGACCTTTATCATGAAGAGGTGTTGGATATTGTCAAATGCTTTTTTAGCAACTATTGAGATGATCAAAAGATTTTCTTCTTTCAGTTTATTTATATGGTGGATTACATTTAAAGATTTTTGAATGTCTGGAATGAAGCCAACCTGATCACGGTCAATGATTTTTTTTTTTTGATGTGTTCTTGGATTCGGTTTGCCAGTATTTTATTGAGTACTTTTGCATCTATGTTCATGAGTGAGATTGGTCTCTAATTCTCTTTCTTGGACACATCTTTGTGTGGTTTCCATATCAGAGTAATTGTAGCCTCATAAAAAGAGTTTGTCAATGTTCCTTCTGTTTCTATTATGTGAAACACTTTGAGGAGTTTAGGTATTAGCTCTTATTTGAAGTTCTGCTTCTGGTAGAATTCTGCACTGAAACCTTTTGACCCTGGGATTTTTTGGTTGGGAAGCTTTTGGTGACTGCTTCTATTCCCTTGCAGGTTTTAGGTCTATTTAAATTGTTCATCTGGTCTTGATTTATTTTTTGTATGTGGTGCCTATCCAGAAAACTGTCCATTTCTTTTACATTTTTCAATTTTGTGGAATACAGGTTTTTGTAGTATGGCCTAATAATTCTCTGGATTTCTTCAGTTTCTGTTGTTATATCCCCCTTTTCATTTCTGATTTTGTTAATGTGGATGTTCTCTCTCTGCCTTTTGATTAGTTTGGATAGGGGTTTGTCTATCTTGTTGATTTTTCTCAAAGAACCAGTTCTTGGTTTCCTTGATTCTTTGTATTGTTTTCTTTATTTCTATTTTATTGATTTCAGCCCTCAATTTGATTATTTCCTGTCATCTACTCCTCCTGGGTGAGTCTGCTTTTTTTCTAGAGCTTTCAGGTGTGCTGTTAAGTCACTAGAGTAAGATTTCTCTACTTTTTTATGTAGGCCCTTTGTGCTATATACTTTCCTTTTAGCACTGCTTTCGTAGTGTCCCATAGGTTTGGGTACATTGTGTCTTCATTTTCATTTAATTCTAGAAAGGTTTTAATTTCTTTCTTTATTTCTTCCTTGACCCAGGGTTGCTTCAATTGACCACTGATTCATTTCCATTAGTTTTTAGACTTTCTGCATTTAGTGTTGGTCTTAAATTCTAACTCTAAACCATGGTGATCTGATAAGATACAGGGTTTTTTTTTATCTTGTTGGTGTTTGCTTTGTTACTGAGTATGTGGTCAATTTTAGAGAAGATTCCATGGGTGCTGAGAAAAAGATACATTCTTTTGGTGGAATGCTCTGTAGATGTCATTACATATGCTAGTTCTCTTCTTTCTCTGTTGAGTTTCTGTCTTCCCATTGTTGAGAGAGGGATGTTTATGCCCTCTACTATTAATGTGTGGGGTTTGATGCGCGATTTAAGTTTAGTAATGTTTCTTTTACATATGTGGGTCTATATGTTCATTTCTGAGATCTGGTATAAGAAAATATTACAAATTAGTACCAAGAAAATAACATAATTCTGTTCTCTGAGTTTCTGAACTTAAAATTTTCAAAGCAAAATGTCAGTAGAGCCATGTTCACTCAAGTTCTCTGGGAGAAAAATCCTATTTGACCACCTTTGGCTTCCATCTATTCTTGTTTCTGATCACTAATGACTGTCTCTCTCAAGTCTCTGCCTCCACCTCATGGCCTTCTTGCTTGTTTCAGCTCCCATATTTTCATAACCCACCCTTTTCACTCATATGGACACTGGGAATTGCACCCTATGACATCATTTTATCTCCCAGATCTGGAAAGACACCACTTTCATTTAAAAGCACATTTTAGGGCTTCAGGCAAATATAAAATTTGGGAATAAGAATTCGATCAATTACACATAAATCTGTATAAGAGAATAAACTAATTTAGATGTATTTTCTAGTTAAATCACTCATAAATTAATATACCCTTGACATTTGTGTTTTAATCATTAATAAAGTTACTTTTTGAGATATTATATAGTTTTCCAGGGTTAAATCATTCACATAAGTTATCATGGCTATTGGATAACTTGCTAAATGCATTTGCTGTTTATCAGTCACCATCTTCAGTGATTTCCATATATTAATTAAATAAACCAAAAGGCAGAGAGAGACTATCCAAATTAACAACATCAGAAATAAAAAAGGGACATAACAACAGACACGGAAGAAATACAGAGAATCATCAGGTCATATTTTGAAAACCTGCACTCCACAAAATTGGAAAACGTAAAGAAATGGACAACTTTCCGCATAAATATCACTTACCAAAATTAAATAAAGACCAGATAAGCAAATTAAACAGATCTATAACTGCTGAAGAAATAGAAACAGTCATCAAAACTCTCCCAACCAAAAAAAAGCCCAGGACCAGAAAGTTTCAGGTCAGAATTCTACAAGATTTTCAAAGAACTAATACCAATACTCCTCAAACTATTCTACACAATAGAAACAAAAGGAACATTGTCAAACTCTTTTTATGAGGCTACAATTACCCTGATACCCAAACCACAAAAAGCCATTACTAAGAAAGAGAATTACAGACCAATCTTATTCATGAACATTGATGCAAAAATACTAAATAAAATACTGGCAAATCGAATCCAAGAACACACAGAGCCATCATCCACATGATCAAGTTGGCTTCATCTCAGAGATGCAGAGATGGTTCAACTCTCACAACTCATGGTGAAATAGTCCCAGTTTTTCTAGAATCAGGACTGGGATTGCATCCCCAGGTAGTCTCTGAAGATACCACCCAGCACCTGTCTCTCATCAAATATTTTTGATACCTAATATTTTTTATTCTTTCTTAAATACCATGCCCTGGTATCTAACTGAGTTGATGCATTTTTCCTGAATATGTGAATGATCTTCATAATATAAACTCTTATTCTATGTTCTCTGTGAAGCTTGTTTTCAGTAGGAACCAACACTTTCACATGTGAAGAGTGGTTCCCAAAATAATTTAGTTATTGGTCATAATTTTCACCTTCATTTTAACTGATTTTGGCAAGTGATCTCCGCAGTCACAACAATTATGATGACCAAGGTTTTTTTTTTTTTCTAGAATACACAAGTTTATTTTCCAAGTATCTTCTCTTTCAAAGGAATGTGACTCAGAGCAGATATGGCAATGCTAGAGATTTTGTGAGGTTTTAGGTAGGCTCTAAAAATAAATAGCCTACATATTCTGTTCAAATATGTATGCTAATGATAGGACTGAGCTATAATTATGTTTCTCTAACTGAGCTCCAACCCTCCGAAAAGCAGATTTTGTCAGCTCCTATGTAGGCTCTTGATAAACTGTAGCTTCCCCCTGGACTTTATGAATAAATACACCTGACCAATACCATCATGAGACTTACTAAATTAAGTGAGGATTCATATACCTGATGGGCAAAATTTCAAGCAATGACAACACTAACTCTTCCAATGGAATTTCCCTATTTACTAAGGTAAAGTGTTTGAGAGTATTTTGCAAGGAATTAGCATATGTTATCTGTGTCTGCACTGCCTCCTTGTCTTAGTCAGTGGAGCAGAGAAAGCAGTCATTACAGATAATTAATGTTTTTACTTTTCATATCTGGAATGATATAAAAGGACTCCAGGGAATCCAAGGCATGTTCCAGCAATAGTTAATATGGCAAAGTGTAGGTGTGTTCCCTGGGGAATTTATTGCAAGAAATTGAGTAAAATTCTGAAAAAGAACTCCTTGACTGGTAAAAAGGTTTAAATAGCAGAGGATAAACAGGGAAAGTCTGGACTCATCTTTCCAATTCCTTATTATCTAAGAGGAGATGAAGTCTAATTATAAGTGGTATCTGGAGTACATGCAAACATATATGCAGGTCAGGATTGCTGTTTGCAATGGTAACTAACCTGCTCTGCACCATTAAATGCTCACTACTATGATCTGGAAATGGCCACATTTGTTCACAATCATGATAGAGCCATGCCAACTTCTTGTGATTCAGACTTTTGCATGAACAAGTTTTCGATAAATGCTCTCTTCTCTTTGTGTGTTTTGATCAGGGCTTCAAAGAACCAAGAAAATACATTGCCGCACAAGGTAATTTATTTCCAATCCTGGAGTTATTCCTGGAAACTGGTGATGGAGCATCTCTAAGGAAGCATTTTGTAACTTGCACTTAACTTCTAGGACCCCGGGATGAAACGGTTGACGACTTCTGGAGGATGATCTGGGAGCAAAAAGCCACAGTTATCGTCATGGTCACACGATGTGAAGAAGGAAACAGGGTAAGAGTTCAGAAGGCTGAGGTTGGATCTTGGGAAAGGAAATGCTGAGCTGCATCTCATATAAGTAATACAGGCAATTCTCTCTTTTAACCTTGTTAACATTTTATCTAGCAATTCTCTCTTTTAACCTTGTTAACATTTTATCTACATTTTCATCCAGGTAGAAAACCTAAATTTGTATACTAAGTTTGTGTGTGCGTGTGTAATAGTAGAGTGCACTGCTTTTGAGGCGTTTATTGATAAGTTCTGTACATTGCAACGTGCCAAGTTCACAACTATTTGTGAATGATCACGGCAAACTGACCTTGGGTAGACAGCAGACACCCACATAACACAGTGTTGAGAGAGGTGAAAACCAGAGCCTGAAAGTGACCGTCTTTTGCTAATCATTTTTTGCAGTCTTCTTGTAATAGATGTTGATGGCTGGGCAGATCGTCCTTCTGCTAATTGGCTAAGACAAACCCTTCCAGAAACTGTATTGGGAAATAGAATACATTTCAGCTCAAAGTGCACGTTATTAAAATAATTTTCAAATGCTTGGGGGAATATCAGTTGAGTAGATTTTTGATTGTCGATGTTTTAGGAGTAAGCAGAAACTGATTTATGATACTTTGGAGTCATGAATAAATTTTTCAAACCACAGAACAAGTGTGCAGAATACTGGCCATGCATGGAGGAAGGCACCCGGGCTTTCAGAGATGTCGTGGTAAAGATCATCGAGCACAAAATATGTCCTGATTACATCATTCAGAAGCTGAACATCACACATGTGGGTTTCTTTCATTATGTAACTTTTGGTTTGGCATGACAGTTTTATAAAAGTGCAGCTAAGGAATATTATATGTGAAGAGCTAAAACACATCTGGGAAAATCATTTTTAATGATCTTTAGGAGAAAGAGCCAGGCTGAAATAGCCATGAAAACTGACAGGCAGGCTAGAATTCAGATTGCTGATTGATGCATTGCTTGTCTACACGAGTCAGAAGTACCTGCTCTTCTGGACCTCTGAAGCAGTAACAAGAGGGTCCACAAGATGCTCTGAGTCAGTGACGAGGTTATTGAGTGGAAAAACAAACAATCCCGTTTGTCAATAGTCTGTATGCATTATGAAAAGCATATTTTAAATAAATGGCATATGGTATGAGCAATTTGAGAAGTATTAAGTTACAACTATACAGGAAAGAGAGAGAGCGACACACACACACACACACACACACACACAGAGAGAGAGAGAGAGAGAGAGAGAGAGAGAGAGAGAGAGAGAGAGAATTCAGTTCAGTAAAGAATGAGGTTAACATGGCCTTGGAAAGAGTTGAAATGGAGGTCATTTCTTATTATGTCATTCTATTTTCAGGAAAATTCCAGATAGAGGAACCTATAAATGCAGAATATAGATTAGTAGTTGCCTTAGGCTGAGTTGCCAAGTGGGGAGTCAGAGGAGCTTAGGCTTTCATTTTACAGTGACAACAATGTTTTATTATTAGAGAGTAATGGTGCACCATTCTGAATGGAACAAACACACTTTAATTTATCATGTATATCTTAGTAGTGCAATTTAAACATGCATATCTTATTTGACTTTAACTTTGTGCAAAGTTCAGATACATCTTCTTCAGTAAAAAGTAACCAAATGTACAGGTTTGCTAGCTATTTCTCCTACAGCCTTCTGGCTCTGCTCTTGGGGATAAACAATCCTATTTATTGCCAATAGAAAAATGCATACTTGGCAAAGGTCCCCATTATATATATGGAGGAGCTGTTTAGGGGTTGTTGCCTAGCTGGTCACTGCAACTTTTCTGAGGTATCTATCTTAATGGATTTTTATAATTTCTATTGAAAACTTACAAGTAAACTTTTTCATTATTTATCTTTTGAACGTGTATAATTCTCTGTGTGATAATCTACAGAATGGAATGCAAATCAAATAACTAGTACTTTCTACATGTGCAATATAGTCCTGCTTGCCAGGAAACCAAACAGATGAATTCTAAAATGCTGTGAGGATACTGTTTGCTTAGTTTCCAAACATCCACCTACATCTCTCCACTCCTACATATCTCCACTACCTTTTCTAGTCTCTCATTTTAGCTTATTTTACTATTTTTAACATTGACATCATAGGATAGAAAGTCTGAGAAGTTTCCGCTTTCCTTACTCTTCCTGACTCTGCTCCTCATTCGTTGACTGGATGGTGCATGTGAGGCTAGTGTGACTTCTCATGGGACAGGAAATTGGAAAACCACAGAAGAGAGTGTCTGAGGCAAACGTTTGGGGGTAGTTACATGAGGAGCCTATTGCACAGGTCCTCTTATTTTACATACTTACCCCCCTGAGTTTGCTTTGAAAGAAAACATCTCAAAGAATGCATCATCTCTTCACCAGAAAAAAGAGAAAGCCACTGGGAGAGAAGTGACACACATCCAGTTCACCAGCTGGCCAGATCACGGGGTTCCTGAAGACCCCCACCTGCTCCTCAAACTTCGACGGAGGGTTAATGCTTTCAGCAACTTCTTCAGCGGTCCCATCGTGGTGCACTGCAGGTAAGGACTGGCAGGGCGAGAGCCCCTGTGGCTCTGCACAACTCTTCTGTTGGGCAGCTAGGGACATTGATTGGCTAGTGCTGGTTTGTTGACAGTCTACTAAGATTCATTTCTCAAACAGCTGTTCTTGCTAACTGACATTTTATAATTGTGGGGGCATAATCACATAATATAGCATGTGATGTTATGATTTATGAAATAAATAGCAAGGACCTGAATGTAAATATGTAAATAATTTTTAAGATGAAATTTGCCTTATTGCCTACCCTAGATGGCTGTTCCTCTTCCTCCTTGTGAACATGGTTTACATTTTTTATTCTTTTTAAAAATTTGTGTGTGTGTGTGTGTGTGTGTGTGCGTGTGTGTGCGCGCGCGTGTGCATGCATGCGCGCGTGTGTGTGTGTGTGTGTGTGTGTGTGTGTGTGGTGTTCAAATAGAGGGCAGCTTTATGGATGCAGTTCTCTCCTTCCACCTTTAAGAGGAATTCAAGGATCAAACTCAGGTCATTCTTGCCAGCCAGGCTCCTTCACTCACTGAGTCATCTGGTATACCTCTCACCTCACTTTTCTGCTTGTTCCTTTAGTGCTGGTGTTGGGCGCACAGGAACCTACATCGGAATTGATGCCATGCTTGAAGGCTTGGAAGCAGAGGGCAAAGTGGATGTCTACGGTTATGTCGTCAAGCTAAGGCGACAGAGGTGCCTCATGGTACAAGTGGAGGTAAAGTCAAACTTTTCATGAGTAGGCTCATTATTGTTTGATGACTTAAATATTCAGGGATGAGGATTGAGGGGTGTAAAAGAAATCCATATCATTATAACTTCAAACAGTGGAGAAAGAAGATATTTTAATTTCTGAGAACTAAAATGAGCTAATCTCCACCAGAATCACTTTGTACTTGTGTTGAAACACACCACGCAAGCCATATAAGCTTAAGATACTCCCAAAACAGTGAAATCATTTACATGCCTGAACCTGATGAAAAAGAACAAACCGTGTTGGCAGCTTTTCACAACATTGAGCAGACAATAGTTTAGGGGTTAAGAGCATCTTTTGTTTTGTTTGTTTTTCTACACAGGATCTCACTATACAGCTACCGGACCTTGAATTTGCTGTAGAACTCCTGCCTTAGCCTCCCAAGTGCTAGGCTAACAGTTAGGAACCACCACACCTTGCAAGAACCTGGCTCTTTGGACTAGAGTTCAGAAATTCAAATACAGGCCCTGCATTGTTTATTTTATATACTATTGGATTTCTTTTCATCTTTCTATGCTTCAGATCAAGTATCCATAAAATGGGAATAGTACTGAGATAAAGTCAGTAATTATCTCATATAACAACTACAAAAAATGGGTAAAAGGAAAATATAAGTGGAAACACTTAGACATATTGCATGCATGAGACATGATATTTGCTAACTGGAAGTGATAGTTATTATTGCAAATGTCTGTGGGCAACAGTAGAAATTTGCCTGTGTAAATGGTCATAATCAGAAACAGGTGCAGGAATGACTCTTGGATTTAGCATAGTTAGAATAACAAAAATATTGGAAATAATCTAAATACCTATAGTAGGGAATGGAAAAATCACAGCCAATGACTTGTGGTGTTGGAGAGAACGATCCAGTGTGTATCTATCTATGCGGTTGGATACAGAGATGGATACCACAGGGGAACCAATATCAGTGAAGTACATGTATTTGTGGGTTTGTAGATAAATAGGCAAGAGGGCAGATTTATAAAAATAAATGATACCCAAAAATAATCAGTTAAAAGACATGTCAAACTAGAGATGGCAGATTAAAAGCCTTATCATGCTTATATTTTTTCTTTAAACAAAAACAAACAAACCAAAAAGAACTCAACTGAGATAACAAAAATGCATAGAATTGCTAAATTTGGGTTTGACACACTAAATCTTAAATAGTTTAATTCATTGAAGAGAAATGCTAACTTTGAATAATAAGTTCTATAGGATATCAACCTTTTCCTGACATACTTTGAAAATTATTATAATTTTAAATAATATTAATTTTAATCTCCATATGAATCACTGAAGGAAATATCAGAGTATAAATTAATAAAAAAATAAAAAATAACAGAGTATAAGTTAATAAAATGAAGGCCACATACAATGAATACTCTATTTGACAAAGCTTTTTTTTTTCTTCTGGAATTTTTAGCCTGAAATGCAATTTATTCATAGTCTAGAAAATTGTGAGAGTCAATTTCAAGACTGTATGCAACAAATATCACTATTCTTTTATCACACAGCTGCTCAATGTGGAAAGTCTGTATTCATGACATAGCTCTTCTATAGGACATGTCAATTATGTATGTTGGGCTTTGCTTCTTGCAGGCACAGTACATCTTGATCCATCAGGCCTTAGTGGAATACAATCAGTTTGGCGAAACAGAAGTGAACTTGTCTGAGTTACATTCATGTCTACAGAACATGAAGAAGAAAGATCCACCCAGTGACCCCTCTCCTCTGGAGGCTGAATTCCAGGTAGCAATCGTCACAGCATTGTCAATGGTTATAAGAAGCTTTGCAGAATGTCGCCTGTTCTTGAAGTCCTTGCTGATTATTTGACTACAAACCAGTGGAGCACAGATGAGGAAGATAAGACTATAAGAGTTCTTTTAAAAAAAATGTCTAAATTTATAACCAGTTATGTAAGAGGCTTCTTTAAACCCTGAAGGCTGAGTTTACAACTAACACTCTTGTTTCACTAAGCTTAGGTGAAGAGTTTCAAAATAGTCACAATAGCCCACAGAATGGCCTGCCACAGGCAATGTTAATGCAACATCTTACCTTTAAACACTACATCTGGTTTTGGTTTTGAAAGGACATAATTAGAAGACTTTACAACTGATTAGGAAGTTGAACTGGCTGGAGCAGGTAGACAGAACATAAAAGCTAAGCCTGTGTGTCTCCACTTCTTTATTAAGTGGTTTTCTGAAAGCTAACTGGACACACAGCTTGCTGGGTTTGACAGTGTGTTGACATAGCCATTCATAAGCAACTTCATCGTCAAAAGTGGTGTGAATTTATCCCTTCCACCTGTAATTTCCAGTTTACTGAGGCATTTACTTTCATAAGAGAAGCGATGTGCTTTTTATCGGATGCAGACCACATAACCAAAATGGGGTTGAGCTTGGAGGATGGGGGCAGAATCTAATGGTTCCAAGTTCTACCATCTTCCCTATTCTGGGGGACTAGTAGTCACAGCATGAGATTGAATATCAGAGAGCTTTAGCATTTTTTCCTTTCCTTTGAGCTGATTGACTGACCACAAGCCCACAAAGGCACACATGAATACTTTTTGTTCGATGATGCTGGTATAGTCAAGGTAAATACTTGTATGCATATTCACTAAAAGAAAGAGGGATTCACTTTTTGATGAACATGGATGATGGAATTTCTGCTTGGTACTAAGGACATTTATAGGTACAAGAGTCAAAGTGCTTTGTAAGTGGATATGGGGGTCTCTAGAAGAGACCTGGAGACCTTACAATCCAAGCAGACAGAATGTAGAGACTGGAGAATTACTCCACCCAAACAGACAGAATATAGAGGTTGGAGACAAGCAAGCAGAAGAGAATGTGGATAGAGTAGGAGAGTGACTGGCAAATGTGGTGATGGGGTGTCAAAAAGTGGAAGTAATATTCTATAAGTATCTTTTCTTTGGTAATATATTGAAAATGTTTAATTGACACATAATTGTACATGTTTGTGGGGAATAGTAGGATGTTCCAAAATATGTGTACTACACATGATAATCTTATGAAACTGAATGTCGTTACATTACGTCATCCCGAATTGCCTTTAATTTATGGAGGAATTATAACTCAAAATCGTCAGTGGAGAATTGAGGGAAATTAGGGGAAGGAAGGCAAAATAGATCTTAATACTTGGGGAGGAAGAAAGAATAAAAAATAGTTATTTCAAAGATAATAAAATTGTCAGAAGTTATTGTGTGATCATCTAATGTTTATGGCCGTGAATTGAAAGAGAATCATTCCATGGTTTTGATTGAGTTCTCTAGGGATAGAGGCTCTGTAAACCCACGTAGATCTGAAAAGTGGTTATATAAAGGTAAAACAGCAAAGGAGTTGATGATCTTTGCAAATGAATGTTTATAGCAGTGGATGTTGACGTATGAAGAGGTCACGTGTAAACAAGAAGGAAAGTGATAGAAACAGTATATGGGAAACTTTGAAAAAAGCACACAAAATCCTAGGAGCAAGTTGCTAGAATAAATGACTAGGAAGAAGAGTAATTTTCAATAACATGACTGGTTCAAGTCATAGTTTAGACATGATGTCATGTTTGTGACCAAATAGACAGAGGTGCAGCGGTGAAACTGGATGGGTGAGAAGTAGAAAGAAGAATCCCAAGGGTGAGAATAGAGAATCAAGCTACAGCAGGACTATGTAGATTATTTCATCCATGCTGGTTTGAGCAAGGAGATGCGCATCTTATGGAAGAGAGTCCATTACTCACCAGGTCAAAAAATAGTGAGGTCGGATGATCTTGGAATTTGTAGCTGATGCCTCTGAGTGAATGATGGTGAATAGTGAGTACTATAATACAAGGGAAAGACAGAAAGTTAAATTCTTTGGGTTTTTAGAGAATGAAATTGGTATAAATAGAAGCAGGGAGCAAAGAGAATATGCAATTGTTATTCACAATATGAGGCAAAGAAATTTAAGATTAGCGATGATTCAGTTTCTTGGTGGTATCAAGTGATATCTCCTTGGTATAAGAAGGAAAGGAAAGAAACTGTTGGGAGAAGGGGACCAGGATACATTCTTACTGAAGACAGATCATATACATCGGAACATTGAGAAAATGGGATTTGCTGAGATACCACAGTGCCGCATTGCCTTTTCTTGAGGAAACATGAACAGACTTCTGTTCACCCCATATAGGACACCCAACGAGAAAGCCAAGTCACAATTCTATCAGAGTTCAATCCAAGGAACTAGTACATTTACTGGGCTTACTTGCACAGCACAAGTAAGTGGCTAAGTAGTATAGATGTCTCCAAATGAATCAGTGCAAAACCCTCCACCATCGTGGATAATGACCTCAAGGAAGTCGCATCAGCTTCAACTAATATTCCGTTTCCTATATACTCTAACTTTATCCAAGATCACATGCATTTGAGCTTGGGAACCTGCCCTTATTCATTCCACTATGAAGTGTCAGTGGCCTCTTCATCAGTAGCCTCTTCCCCTAGCTAGTACTATACTGCCCTGTGCACTATCAGCTTCAGTGAGAGACTTAGGTTTGTGGGCACTTGAAAGAATCAGGATTGAGGAGTAGACAATCCTTCATACCTCACTATTGGAAGATGATCCATCAGCTCCTCTTAGAAAACAAGGTTCTTGCTACTCGAGGAGAGTGGCTGTTGAGTGACCACTCATAATATGAGATGGTGTTTCCAAGATAACTGGTTTTTTATGTTACTTATGTTTTTCCTTTCTGTGACCAGGTACCAATAAAAAAGACCCCTTAGAGTTAGACAAAGCAGGAGGGAGGAAAGGAGGAAAGGTTTAATTTGGCTCATGGTTTGATGGCTTAGTCCATTATGGAGGAGAAAGCATAATGGACGAGGCTGTTCTCGGGGTTCGATCACAGGCCGGCTCACCACCACTCTGCTTGGCAAATGGTACACATGTCAGGACTCTTCAATATCCCGAATAACCCACTGCAATTTAGGTTTCACCATTGCAGCTCCACACCCAGATCACTCCAGAGTTCCATGTAGGGCATCTAACGTGGAATACACATTGAATGGCTTCAGTGGCTTTTGGAAGCTTATTGGAAAATTCTTTAACATCCACACCCTTGCATCTTGCATGCCTGAAAAATTAGTGTCACACGATAATGTCAGGTCCTTTGAGCAGCTGGAGATATAGCCTGAACCTCTTAGATAACAGCTGCAATGTCTCTGTATGACTCCATGGCTGAGATCTGGAAAATACTCCTCTAGGTAGCATAGCTGACATACACTGCTATGAAGGCTCTCTTTGTGTAAGCATCTCTTTTCAAATGACAGTTTTCCAAATGAGTTTGAATAGTTTTATCTTTGCTCTGTCTCCAAATGGATGGACTCTTACATCCTTTGGGTACCTTTCTTTTTGGAACCATACCTGTTCATTTAAAACAAGTTGTTATCGCATAGTGGATATGAATGAAAATCTGTATTTTGTGGTTTTGTCTGATGGAAGAACAAGCTATACTGCCTTGCGATCAGGCGTCTCTTAACTAAGAAGCAGATTCTATTGGGTACAAATGTTACGTTTCAGTCCCACTTCCACATCTCAAAGCTACTAAATATGTGAACAACACAAAAGAAAGTTTCAGTGTCCAATTTAAAAACTTTCACCCCTAGGGAGTAACATACATTTCATAGACGTCGATGAAGTCCTCATCTTTGGGTGATATGTAGGCTATAATAATTAAAGAAATATTTAGATTTTAAAGGACCATTGTTTTTGTTTTTCTTAGAGACTTCCTTCATACAGGAGCTGGAGGACACAGCACATTGGAAATCAAGACGAAAATAAAAAGAAAAACAGGAATTCTAATGTTGTTCCATGTATGTAGTTTACTTTCATATCTTGCATCAGATAAAGTTAAGCCGTGTTTGGACTTATTTAGTGTACAGCATACACTTGGTTGATGATCAATAAGAGGTTTGTGGGCTATCTGAAATTTAGTTTTAGCAGATTATATGAATCCCAATAATTTCAATGAACATCAGAAGATGAACAATATGTAGTGTGTTATCTACCTCTAACCCCCCCCCACATATTTGATAAAAAAAATAAAACAGAAATAGGTTAGTTATAAGAAGATGAAGTCTCTGAGCTGGGACGGAAGAAAAAAAATGATCACTCTCCTTTATTAGTTTTATTTTATCTTTAGTATATATCAGGGTAATCACCAAATAGCAGTGATTTTTAACACTCATCTGTTTTCTTTACCTCTGATATCTGAGAGGCTGAGAAAAGACGGAAATGTTCAATAAATTGTTGATCACTAAATTTCCCACACTGAACTAGAAATAATTTTTAAGCTTTAATTCTATTTAAGCTTATTGACGAGATCACACCTGGTACTGCTTTGGCTGCATCCAGCTGCCTATACCAAAATTAGCACAGGTGAAATATAAGCCAAGCTAATAAACAAGACAACCAGATAAATCAAATCAACATATGGCTGGCCTAGTTAATTTCTGTAGAAGTCCTTGTTAATACAGTTAAAATATGGAATCAATAATAATGTAGATAAGTATATAAGCTGGGTTTTTACTAATTTAAAATACTGAGTAGCAAGGGATACTTTAGTAGTAAATAAAGCTAAATAGTAATTAATCTAAAAAATGTTCTTAGGAGACATTGTTAATTTATTGTTAATTAAATGATTTTGAAAACAAAAATCTAAGATATCTAAGTTATAGTTACCAGAACAGTGATAGCCCACGCACAGCGAAAGTGTGCATATCAAACCCTGAATAATCAATTGGAGAATAATGAGGCTACTTCTCATGACTGTAGCACAATTAATAAAAACCCAGAGATGGAAATTGGGGTTCAACCTGAAGGTCAGAAAAGCAAAACAGCTAGCCACCAGCTCTTACTTCTACCTTAGTCCTAAATGGCAATCCTGCCTCCAGGAATCTCAGCATGAGACTGTGTGTGAGAGATGCCTCCTCCTCCTGCTTTATATTCCTCTCTAGTTCTGGTATTAAAGGCGTGCACCACTGCCACCTGGTTTCTGTGGCAAACTAGTGTGGCTACTGGGATTAAAGGTGTGTATCATCATTGCCTGGTCTGTAAGGCTGATCAGTGCGGCTGTTTTACTCTCTGAACTTCAGGCAAGCTTTATTTATTAAAATACAAACGAAATATCACTACATATGACCTGTGCTTTTATTACTGAAATCTTTTGGGGGTAGTTTCTTCTTCTTTAGACTTCTGAAACAAATTTTAATTATTAAGTATTGAATAACTTAATGATTAGACTTTTATTGACATTAAACTAGTACAATTAATTCCGCATTTCCTTTTCATTTCTATGAATCTGTCAGTCAGAAATTTGATTCCTTTTCATTTGAGTTTTTGATTGAGCCCCGGATTGTGTTCATGCCGAGAGCATTCTCTGTAGGTGATCTCTGTCCTCAGTCCCGCCTACATTTCTGGGAAGACTTGCTACTGTCTGTTTTTCCATAGATGACTTTAACAGGGTGCCACTGAAGCATGAGCTGGAGATGAGCAAAGAGAGTGAGCCCGAGTCCGAGGAGTCTTCTGATGAGGACAGTGACTCGGAGGAAACCAGCAAGTACATCAATGCATCGTTTGTAATGGTGGGTACCTACACTCCAGCAAATACATCAACACATCTTTTGTAATGATGGGTACCTACAATCTAGCAAGTACATCAATGCATCTTTTGTAATGGTGGGTACCTACACTCTAACAAGTACATCAATGCATCGTTTGTAATGGTGGGTACCTACACTCCAGCAAATACATTAATGTATCTTTTGTAATGGTGGGTACCTATATTCCAGCAAATACATCAATCTATCATTTTTAATGGTGGGTACCTACAGTCCAGCAAATACATCAATGCATCATTTGTAATGGTGGGTTCCTATACCAGCAAATACATCAATGCATCATTTGTAATGATGGGTACCTGCACTTCCAGACCAGAATCTGACCCTTTGAGATCATGTCAAATGTCTGTCATTAAAGCCATTTCTTAGGCAGTATTATACACAGCTGATGAGTTCAGAGTTAAGCACATATTCAGAGGCACAAAACTTTCACTTGGTGATACCATTTTAAACATATCAAACGAAGCAGAAGAGTTCAAATTTAGTCAGTTGATTTGGGATAAGGAAATGTTATTGCTTATTTTATATAAAACATAATGGCATACTAGTTTTAAAAATCAAATTAGAATAAATGTAACTATTTGAAGGCATTAGTTACCCAAATCAGCAAATCAAATTTGTAGGATGATACAGTGATAACTAACATTAGTTATTTATTATTGTTAGGCCCACCCTAGCATGGGGCTTATTAGTTTTGATAGTCACATGTCAGCATTTTGAAAGTCTCTCAGATGACTTGATTTCATCTACCTTTTTGGAAAACAGCAGCTAAACCAGAAAAACTAAATAAGGGATCTAGTGAAGTCTTAGTAAAATCTCAGTTGCATTTATTTCTTCCCCCGATCTTCCTGCAGCTGACACTTTTGTGGGGATTAAGGCTAACTATGCTGTGTTATATCACATCATGCCATGTCACAAGTTAAATAGGTGGATGACAGAATAATTTTAAAAGATTATGTTAATCCATCTTTACAATTAAATAACTAATGGAATAAAAATTTCAAAGAAAAATTATTTTTAGCATTGCAGGTTGTAACTGTAATTTCACATTAGTAGCTGTTTTATAAATAGATGCTGCATTTTTCCTGGACTTAAGAATCATAGCTTTCTATTAATGGCAATGATACCAAATCATCTATTTTTCAAAATTTGGTATCATTTGGTTTATGAGTCTGTTTTTGATGGCAGCACTAACCAGTTCCTACCTTTGTAATTTTTAGAGTTACTGGAAACCAGAACTGATGATCGCCACTCAGGGGCCACTTAAAGAGACTGTTGGTGACTTCTGGCAGATGGTGTTCCAAAGGAAGGTCAAGGTCATTGTGATGTTGACAGAGTTAACAAATGGAGGCCAGGTTTGTACTTTGGAGAACGCCATGTTAGAAAACCCTTAACCGCGTACGACATTCTCCATTCTCGGATTCCTTGTTTATTGCTGTGTTCTCTACATTTTGATTTCTCTGTGATACAGTCCAGCACACTAGTGTTCCTGGGCCCATTGTCAGGTTGGCTCCATTATCTTCCGTGTGGGTTCTGACATTTTCTCCATCCCTGGACATGGGGAGGAGAGAACCTACATGGTGGAAGGCTATACCTTTGTATATTTGTCCTATGTTTATATGGTAAAATCCACTCTCTGCTCCTGACAAGTGCATTTTATGTGCAGAGCTTTTACTATCTGGCATCTTAATATACAAACATCCTTTGTTCCTAAATAATGCTCCTTTGCCCCTCCTAACCCCATTTTTCTAGAAAGACACAACCTTTTGAAATCTTCAGCTATATCCTTCCTTCTTTATTTCTACATGACATTATTGCCATAAAATTTTATAATTAGGGGTAAACACACCATGTACTTTTGCTTTTTACTTAAACCATGTGACATATGTTTGGTATTTTCTTAGAACCTGGAGACACTAATAAAATTCCCCAGTGATAGATCATATAATAGAATTTTAGTTCTGACATGTGGCGAGACTTATTTAGTAAAATCCTTATGAGCAGGCACCACGACCCATTACTGTCTCTGCCTTCATTTCCCCATTTTCTTTTACTTCTCTCCTCCACAGATCCTTTTTGCTGAGTCCCCTTTTCTCTGTCTTCTCTGTCCCCGACTTTCATCCCTCACCCTCTCTGTTTCTCTCCAACTGCAGCTCCCTCTCTCCACCTTTGTCTTCTGTCAGTGGCCCTGTGCATCGTCAGCAATTATGGGATGGTAGTATGCAGAGACCTGTGGTTCTTTACTCTCCAGTTGGATCCTTTATTTAATTAGGTGCTTCTCGTAGAGTTGGTCATCAAGATTCTGGGTGAAGTCTTTGAGCAACACAAACTCTGCTCTCAAGGATCAGTGGAGAATAGTGGGGACCAAGTTGTTGGAAGAGTCCAGCTGATGTCAGGTCATTTCATAAAATTTTGAAGAGATTAGATAATCAGGCTTTCAAATGTGGGACAAATTCCCAAAACCTCTTCCAGAGATGATAAAGGTACCCTTCGATTACCTTAATCACTCCAAACCAAATACCGTTCAACGAAAGGATCTCCACTGTATTTAAAGTAGATTTTTGATTCGTATAAAGGTTTCAATTTTAGAAAACATTCATTTACAATTAATAAGAAAAGAGGTAAGAAGAGAGAAGTGGTTCTGGATGCTTTAGAGAGCAAACCCAAGACATGTGAAGAACCTGGTAAATCATGTTTCATTTCCATCCAGGAAGTCTGTGCTCAGTACTGGGGAGAAGGAAAGCAGACGTATGGAGACATGGAAGTGGTGACCAAAGACACCAGCAAATCCACAGCCTACACTATCCGCGTGTTCGAACTGAGACATTCTAAGGTCTGTAAACACTTTTGAACATATTTACTTATGATGTAATTAGTCTAATGGCAAGCTTAATATTTTATGCCATCAAGGCCACTGTCTATATAAAGGTTCTGGATAAAAACTGTAAGTTATCTGAATGAAGGCAACTGTGAAAAAATTCAACTGTCAAAGGATAAACTGGACTGAACTTCCTTTGCATTAATGTTCCCTTCACCTCTGATTGCAGAGGAAGGAGCCCAGAACGGTGTACCAGTACCAGTGCACCACATGGAATGGGGAAGAGCTTCCTTCAGAACCTAAGGAACTGGTGTCTATGATTCAGAACCTCAAACAGAAACTTCCCAAGAGTTGCCCTGAAGGGATGAAGTATCACAAGCACGCACCAATCCTAGTCCACTGCAGGTAGGAGGGCTGACGGGATGTACTCTAACGTTGGCAGGCTTCTTTATTTCTATTGAATTCTATTCTCCTGGTACACAAACTGTGTGACTGGTGGAAATCCCCACGAAGCACTTCACTCTTGTGTCCATCACCTTCACTACACCTACAACAATATAAATAATGAAGGTTGTAAAAGCAGTTATTCTAGACTTGTAGCTGTTTAATATCATTTCATATACTCTTTGATTCTTCACTGCCTAGCCTTAGACCAGGAATGTTATATGTGGCCAATGAACAGGTGAATAAGAGAAATGCATGAATGGATTGGCTGATAGATTTCATTATGCATAGACTCAGGTGCATTGTGATAGTCTACTGGATATTACAGAACCTGAGATCTGAGTGATTTGTTTCCAGTAAACGTAAATAGAAATTTCCTGTCCTAACTGCCCGGTCCCAGATAGCTGACTCAGAGGCTGAATATGAATTATAAATGCTCAGCCAATAGCTCAGGCTTATTACTAGCTACCTCTTACACTTATATTAGCCCATATTTTTATTTATGCCTTGCCACATGGCTCTTGGCTTGGTACCTCATTTTTTACACATCCTGCTTGCTGAGCAGTTGGCTGGTGTCTCCATCGACTCCACCCTCCCTTTTCCCATCATTCTCAGTTTGGCTTTCCTACCTAACTTTCTATCCAGCTATCGACTTGTCAGCTTTTTATTAACCAATGAGAGTAGTACATCTTTACAGTGTAGAGAAGCAATATTCCATAGCAAGAAAACATACTTTAAGCTAGTAACATTAAACATTGACAAAATTGTGTGTGTGTGTGTGTGTGTGT